CCTCCGACAACCTGACACTCGGACAACCTGACCCTCCGACAACCCGACCCTCCGACAACCCGACCCTCCGACAACCCGACCCTCCGACAACCTGACCCTCCACAACCTGACACTCCGACAACCTGACACTCCGACAACCCGACCCTCCAAACAACCCGACAACCTGACACTCCGACCCTCCGACAACCCGACCCTCCACAACCCGACCCTCAACAACCCGACCCTCAACAACCCGACCCTCCAAACAACCCGACCCTCCAAACAACCCGACTCTCCGACAACCCGACCCTCCGACAACCCGACCCTCCGACAACCCGACCCTCCACAACCCGACCCTCCACAACCTGACCCTCCACAACCTGACACTCCGACAACCTGACACTCCGACAACCTGACACTCCGACAACCCGACCCTCCAAACAACCTGACACTCCGACAACCTGACCCTCCGACAACCCGACCCTCCAAACAACCTGACACTCCGACAACCTGACCCTGCAACAACCAGACTTTTCCGACAACCTGACCCTGCAACAACCAGACTTTTCCGACAACCTGACCCTGCAACAACCAGACTTTTCCGACAACCTGACCCTGCAACAACCAGACTTTTCCGACAACCTGACCCTGCAACAACCAGACTTTTCCGACAACCTGACCCTCCACAACCCGACCCTCCACAACCCGACCCTCCACAACCTGACACTCCGACAACCTGACACTCCGACAACCTGACACTCCGACAACCCGACCCTCCAAACAACCTGACACTCCGACAACCCGACCCTCCGACAACCTGACCCTCCGACAACCCGACCCTCCACAACCCGACCCTCCACAACCTGACACTCCGACAACCTGACCCTCCGACAACCCGACCCTCCGACAACCCGACCCTCCACAACCCGACCCTCCACAACCTGACACTCCGACAACCTGACCCTCCGACAACCCGACCCTCCGACAACCCGACCCTCCGACAACCTGACCCTGCAACAACCAGACTTTTCCGACAACCTGACACTCCGACAACCCGACCCTCCGACAACCCGACCCTCCACAACCCGACCCTCCGACAACCTGACACTCCGACAACCCGACACTCCGACAACCTGACACTCGGACAACCCGACCCTCCGACAACCCGACCCTCCACAACCCGACCCTCCGACAACCTGACACTCCGACAACCCGACCCTCCGACAACCTGACCCTCCGACAACCCGACCCTCCGACAACCCGACCCTCCGACAACCCGACCCTCCGACAACCTGACACTCGGACAACCCGACCCTCCGACAACCTGACACTCGGACAACCTGACACTCCGACAACCTGACACTCGGACAACCCGACCCTCCGACAACCTGACACTCGGACAACCTGACACTCCGACAACCTGACACTCGGACAACCTGACACTCGGACAACCTGACCGCCCGGAACTACACGTGTCTAATAAATAATGCAGCGTTGTTTTAAATAGAAAAAAAAATAGGAGGGGGGAATCTATAAATATTAGGTGTCAATCAATATAGTTTCTACAAATCAAGTTAATTAAAGTTCGTCGACACTAAATATTGTTCATGAAAAATATTTTCTGAAATGGCATTTGGAAAGCTGTTGAGTTATGGGCTAGGCAGTAGATGCTCCTATGTCCAGGGATTCCCGTAATGTTTATCCCATGTAATGTTAGGATACTACGGGTGTTGGTGCGCCCCGCAATAAACACCAACCTCCCACATTGTTATCGCTAATTAATGGGCCCGTCCGTCATGGGGGAAGATAAGCCACGAGCTGGAGAACAGAGGGTGGATAATCAGCCCGACCCCCCCCCCTCCCCCAACTCACGCGGCTTCACACCATGTGACTTAATGACTTGGTGAAATGAGATCGGATTTAACATGGGGTTGGGGGGGGGTCAGAAAAAAACTATCTTTTGTGGATGCATATGGACTTTTATAAGGAAAAAAAGAGGATTTTTGTGGACGGGGGGGGGGGGGGGGGGGGGGATGTTCCAAAATCCAAAAAAAATGTGGACGTCATAAATGGATGACCCCTAATAGGTCCTACAAAGGTTGGTTTAGGGTGGCTGGGTGGGGTGGGTCAGGGGTTGAAGGGGAGAGAAAATTAGCGGGGAGGACGGGCCAGGGGTGGAGATTAGGTAAGGTGAGAGTAGGGGTGAGGAGAGGCAGGTGTGAGTTAGGGAGTAATATTGGGAAGGGAAGAACGGTGGGATGAGGGTGGGAAGCATAAAATAAGGATGGGAAGTAATGGAGGGGGAGGGGTTAGAGGCGGGTGAGTGTTGGTGTACCCACTTTTGTCGCCACACTCACCCACAACAACGCAAGGACACAACAAAAAAACTTTACCAATATCCTCTTTGTTTTAGTCTCTAATCTAAATAGAGTACACGGATAAAAAACAAAAGTCTATTTTTAGATGTGACGTCAATACATTTTTTTTAAAACTACACAGCAATGAGCAAATGACATTAGACAAGATGATAGGGCCATCTTGTAGCTCAGGTCCAACTGTTGGTCCAAAAAATACATAGGTGTTTTTTGTTATGCTTAACATGTCTAACGTTCCAATACATACTGCACATACACCTCCACACACACACACCACCCACACACCTAATTAACATATTCATGAGTACTTAAAATGCTAAAACACGAGAGCGCGTGAGGGTGGTTGATCAATCAATGACGTCACAGCGACCAGATGGGTGGAGTTTTATGAGGGGTTGAATGATAAAACAAGGTCAACTAATTAGTTAATTATTTTATGCTAATTACAAGGCATGTTGTCAACTCTAGATAGCTCATCAGTGGGAAGAGATGGATGTGCTCATCACCGCTAGATACTGGGGACTCCTAGCTAAACAAAATGTAGGGGGGAGGGGAGAGGGGGGTTACCAGTACTCTCAGGATCAATATTTTTTGCTACATCAAAGCTAACCCTGTCCCAAACATAACCCTAACATTTTTCTTAACACATTGAACCAAACAAAAGATAACACCCCTATTTTTTTAGAGGACACCTTTGCCCATTGTTGGCCATTTATAAAAAAAAAAAACATGGACAACCATCCGATTTAAACTGTCACATGCTGTGATATAAGAAGATCAAAGTGGACATTTACAGGAAAGTATCTTTACATACAAGAACCATTTGGGCCATTCATCAATTATTTTTTTTTACATTAGTATGCGAAAGATCCAGACATAACATTAATGTATACTGACATTACTCATCACTCAACTGTAGAAACTCAAAATGTATGTATGTTATCTAACAATGCATCTATAGGAAACATCTGGAGGTTAAATCACCTGTATGCACTATCATCCAACAACTCACCTGTATGCACTATCATCCAACAACTCACTTGTATCATCCAACAACTCACCTGTATCATCCAACAACTCACCTGTATCATCCAACAACTCACCTGTATGCACTATCATCCAACAACTCACCTGTATCATCCAACAACTCACCTGTATGCACTATCGTGCAACAACTCACCTGTATGCGCTATCATCCAACAACTCACCTGTATCATCCAACAACTCACCTGTATCATCCAACAACTCACCTGTATCATCCAACAACTCACCTGTATGCACTATCATCCAACAACTCACCTGTATCATCCAACAACTCACCTGTATGCACTATCATCCAACAACTCACCTGTATCATCCAACAACTCACCTGTATCATCCAACAACTCACCTGTATCATCCAACAACTCACCTGTATGCACTATCATCCAACAACTCACCTGTATCATCCAACAACTCACCTGTATGCACTATCGTGCAACAACTCACCTGTATGCGCTATCATCCAACAACTCACCTGTATCATCCAACAACTCACCTGTATGCGCTATCATCCAACAACTCACCTGTATCATCCAACAACTCACCTCCATGCACTATCATCCAACAACTCACCTGTATGCACTATCATCCAACAACTCACCTGTATCATCCAACAACTCACCTGTATCTTCCAACAACTCACCTGTATCATCCAACAACTCACCTGTATCATCCAACAACCCACCTGTATGCACTATCATCCAACAACTCACCTGTATCATCCAACAACTCACCTGCATGCACTATCATCCAACAACTCACCTGTATCATCCAACAACTCACCTGTATGCACTATCATCCAACAACTCACCTGTATCATCCAACAACTCACCTGTATGCACTATCGTCCAACAACTCACCTGTATCATCCAAAAACTCACCTGTATCATCCAACAACTCACCTGTATCATCCAACAACTCACCTGTATCATCCAACAACTCACCTGTATGCACTATCATCCAACAACTCACCTGTATCATCCAACAACTCACCTGTATGCACTATCATCCAACAACTCACCTGTATCATCCAACAACTCACCTGTATCATCCAACAACTCACCTGTATCATCCAACAACTCACCTGTATCATCCAACAACTCACCTGTATCATCCAACAACTCACCTGTATCATCCAACAACTCACCTGTATCATCCAACAACTCACCTGCATGCACTATCATCCAACAACTCACCTGTATCATCCAACAACTCACCTGCATGCACTATCATCCAACAACTCACCTGTATCATCCAACAACTCACCTGCATGCACTATCGTCCAACAACTCACCTGTATCATCCAAAAACTCACCTGTATCATCCAACAACTCACCTGTATCATCCAACAACTCACCTGTATCATCCAACAACTCACCTGTATGCACTATCATCCAACAACTCACCTGTATCATCCAACAACTCACCTGTATGCACTATCATCCAACAACTCACCTGTATCATCCAACAACTCACCTGTATCATCCAACAACTCACCTGTATCATCCAACAACTCACCTGTATCATCCAACAACTCACCTGTATCATCCAACAACTCACCTGTATCATCCAACAACTCACCTGCATGCACTATCATCCAACAACTCACCTGTATGCACTATCGTCCATGAATTTCCTCCTGTCCATTCGCTTCCTGTTGGTCAAGCAGTGGTTAAAACTGGCCAGACTATCAGCCCAGGTGTGAAGATTGCCAGTGCCAAACAGTGCCAGACCCCCTCCACCTGGTGACACAAGAGGGGACAGGTCAAACTTTACAGACGTGTAGATGGGGCTAGAGAGGTGTTCACACAAACTATGCTGTTGTTGTAATAGTCAAATACATCATAGCACAGAAAGCTGAGCATGAATGGTAAGAAATAATAAGTACAATGACGGATATAAAAGTGCTAGTCATGATGGCACACAATCATTGCCACAATCCTGACAGCACAGAAGTCAGTGATACATGTGTCACATGACACTGTCATTGCTACTGTCCAGACAGGACACTGTCACAGCTAGCCAATGACGTGACACTGTCACAGCTAGACATGACATGACACTGCCATAGCTATCATCATGACATCACACTGTCACAGCTAGCCAATGACATGACACTGCCATAGCTGGACATGCCATCACCCAGTCTACTGTTAAACTCACCCAGTGCCGTGTGACCTTTGGTGTGCTTGAGGATGTCGCTGTGTGTCTTGGGTATGTCGGCGTCTTTGGGCAGATGGTACCGGGTGAAGGACATGAAGCAGAAGAACTTGCTGCGGGACTTGTGCGAGAAGAGAGGCGACATCATCAGCTCTTTGCCGAAGAAGTTCCACAGTTCGTAGCTAGAAGCAAAAGTTAAAGTTCGTAGCTAGGAGCAAAGGTTAAAGTTTAGAGCTAGAAGTCATGGTTAAAGTTTAGAGCTAGAAGCAAATGTTTAAAAGTTGATAGCTAAAAGTAAATGTTAACTTATAGCTAAAAAACAAAATGTTTACGTTAATTGAAACGTGAACATTCATAGAACATTTTTTTAAAATGACTTTTATAAAACCAATCAACAGGAAAATTTTAAAAAAAATAGTATAAAGCTTCTTTTTACAGTTACCAATATTAGATTCAGTGATTAAAATACGGCTACAGATTATGTTGAGGACTGGCTGAAGTTGTTTAGGCAATGGTTAGGTTAGGAAAACTAGCAAAAAATTAAATCTTCGAATAAATATACCAACAGAAAATCGACAAAGCTATTTTAAAAATATTTTTTAAAGTTATAACCTCAAAAAACAGTAAAAGATTCCTAACGTATCATAAAAATACTTCTACTGGGTAATCACTGCTGTGAAGAAAATGTAAATCAATGCAGACATTGTTTAAGAATTGTGTCTGTAACTAGACCACTGATGTAAGCCTGGACTCACCCCGTCATTGAATAAGCCTCGGCCAGCGTGAGCTTGCTGTGGAACACGTGACAGATCGGCCTTGACCCCGAGTCGGTCTCCAGCTGGAAGGTGGTCCGGCCGAAGCCGTGCTCCCGCATCTTCTCGGCCGTCAGGGTTTGGATGATTTGGGCGCCCAGGCTGATGCGGCGGGCGGCGGCCTCGGGCGTCGAGACTACGTCATCGGGAGCCTGGCGTCATGGGGGAGATGGCGGGGGGGGGGGTTAGAGTTCTGGTCGACTGGTCACACACACAAGCATACAGACAGTAGATGCACACGAGAAGCTCAGTTAGAAATGTGTCCGACACACAGACAAGCATACAGACACACGAGCAATTCCTACAGTTAGAGTAGTGTCCGACAGGTCACATACATGCAGACACATTCAAGCGGACACCCAGACACGCACGTCACTCACACAAGAGCTGGTCACTCACACAAGAGCTGGTCACTCACACAAGAGCTGGTCACTCACACAAGAGCTGGTCACTCACACAAGAGCTGGTCACTCACACAAGAGCTGGTCACTCACACAAGTGCTGACCACTCAAAACCCCGCTCACAACAATATGACCACGTGCATACCGACACACCCATCACCGGAAGTCCCAACCACCAATCACTCACAAGCATTCGTCACGTGACCTTACCTGGAAGTGGCCGTCATGCCCGGCGCAGACGATGTAGACAGGCCGGACGATGTGGGTGAACTCTGGCGCGTCGTAGGTCAGCCTCAAGGTCAAACACTCCTGGCCGTAGCGGAGACTGACGACATTCTCTCCGGGTTGGAGCCTGGCCAACACCTGCACAAGTCACGTGATCTCATTAGCTCTTCTGATTGGTCAATGCTAATATTGGTCGTTAGTCTACAGTACAAAGTAGGGACTTCGGTGATTTCCAGTCCACCAAGTTTTTAAAACTAACAGATCTCTCAGAATATTTCGAAAGGGGAGAAAGTAGGTTGACTAGTCTCATATTATGGGAAGATGACCTAAGTACTGGAATAGCCGATTAGATCCCTCGAACTCTTTTCACTCACTCGGTTTGACGGCCCGGTTGCTGCATGAGAGAGCACGAGTTAGCAACAACTGTTGCCAGCAGACAAACAAAAGTATCCCCCTCCCAAAGGTAGGCGGGCAGGGAATACGCCTAACACCTACATACAATGCAATTAACAACAGCAACGAATATTTTATTTGTCCAATCTAATTGCATTGACGTTGTCGTTCAGGTACAACACACACTGGAGTTGTTCCAAAATGGCGCCCATTCTGCAACTCCCCAGCACCCCACTGTCATCACGTGATATTAAGGTACAGAACACACTGGGGGTGTTCCAAAATGGCGCCCATTCAGCAACTCCCCAGCACCCCACTGTCATCACGTGATATTAAGGTACAGAACACACTGGGGGTGTTCCAAAATGGCGCCCATTCAGCAACTCCATCAGCACCCCACTGTCATCACGTGATATTAAGGTACAGAACACACTGGGGGTGTTCCAAAATGGCGCCCATTCAGCAACTCCATCAGCACCCCACACCGTCATCACGTCGACTCATTTAACCAAGTAATGTTTATGTATTGTGTGTGTGCTGGTTGGCCCCCCACACGGTCATCACGTCCACTATTTAACCAAGTAATTTTCATGTGTTGTGTGTGTACTGGTCAGTCCCCGCCACTTCCTGCTTCAGTCCCAGGTGTTGTCCATCCCATCATGACTCTAATAGAATGTTCCAGCCATCCATTCATTGCTTTACAGATGACCCATCCTGCCTGACACACGTTTGAACAGTCCACTCACGTCCTTTGGATGCTGGATCCCAGGCTAAGAGCGAGGGTTCAAATGGCTACACCTGACTCATTCGGGCTGACCCCGGTTTGGAGAGTTCCCAACGTTAAGTCCTACACCTGAACCACCATGACCCACTTTGACCCCAGTTTGTACAGTCCCCTCACGTAGACCCTACACCAGACCCACCCTGACCCACGATTCAACAGTCCCCTCACGTAGACCCTACACCTGACCCACCACCCTGACCCACGATTCAACAGTCCCCTCACGTAGACCCTACACCTGACCCACGATTCAACAGTCCCCTCACGTAGACCCTACACCTGACCCACGATTCAACAGTCCCCTCACGTAGACCCTACACCTGACCCGCGATTCAACAGTCCCCCTACTTAGACCCTACACCTGACCCACGATTCAACAGTCCCCTCAAGTAGACCCTACACCTGACCCACGATTCAACAGTCCCCTCACGTAGACCCTACACCTGACCCACGATTCATCAGTCCCCTCACGTAGACCCTACACCTGACCCACGATTCAACAGGCCCCTCACGTAGACCCTACACCTGACCCATCTTGACCCACGATTCAACAGTCCCCTCACGTAGACCCTACACCTGACCCACGATTCAATAGTCCCCTCACGTAGACCCTACACCTGACCCACCCTGACCCACGATTCAACAGTCCCCTCACGTAGACCCTACACCTGACCCACGATTCAACAGTCCCCTCACGTAGACCCTACACCTGACCCACGATTCAACAGTCCCCTCACGTAGACCCTACACCTGACCCGCGATTCAACAGTCCCCCTACTTAGACCCTACACCTGACCCACGATTCAACAGTCCCCTCACGTAGACCCTACACCTGACCCACCCCGACCCACGATTCAACAGTCCCCTCACGTAGACCTTACACCTGACCCACGATTCAACAGTCCCCTCACGTAGACCCTACACCTGACCCACGATTCATCAGTCCCCTCACGTAGACCCTACACCTGACCCACGATTCAACAGGCCCCTCACGTAGACCCTACACCTGACCCATCTTGACCCACGATTCAACAGTCCCCTCACGTAGACCCTACACCTGACCCACGATTCAATAGTCCCCTCACGTAGACCCTACACCTGACCCACCCTGACCCACGATTCAACAGTCCCCTCACGTAGACCCTACACCTGACCCACGATTCAACAGTCCCCTCAAGTAGACCCTACACCTGACCCGCGATTCAACAGTCCCCTCACGTAGACCCTACACCTGACCCACCCCGACCCACGATTCAACAGTCCCCTCACGTAGACCCTACACCTGACCCACCCTGACCCACGATTCAACAGTCCCCTCACGTAGACCCTACACCTGACCCACGATTCAACAGTCCCCTCAAGTAGACCCTACACCTGACCCACGATTCAACAGTACCTCACGTAGACCCTACACCTGACCCACGATTCAACAGTCCCCTCACGTAGACCCTACACCTGACCCACGATTCAACAGTCCCCTCACGTAGACCCTACACCTGACCCACGATTCAACAGTCCCCTCACGTAGACCCTACACCTGACCCACGATTCAACAGTCCCCTCACGTAGACCCTACACCTGACCCACGATTCAACAGTCCCCTCACGTAGACCCTACACCTGACCCACGATTCAACAGTCCCCTCACGTAGACCCTACACCTGACCCACGATTCAACAGTCTCCTCACGTAGACCCTACACCTGACCCACGATTCAACAGTCCCCTCACGTAGACCCTACACCTGACCCACGATTCAACAGTCCCCTCACGTATGTCCCACACAGGACGCAGGATCCCAGCTGTCATGTAAAACACCCACCGAGCTTAGGGCGAGGGTTGAAATGACTAAACAAACCAGGGACGATTGCTGGGCACGTGCCGGTCTGGCACCAGAGATCGATAACTCTGGGCCCTGCCCGTCACTGGAGCGGGCATACATTCTCCCCCGGGGTCCTCTCGTTGACCTAATGAAACGGACATGCTGGAACTGACCTAGTTCTGTGTTTAGTCAGAGGGAAGCGTTTAATGATGCTCAAAGTGGGTCAATCACAGAATAACGATCATGTGGGTGGGGGTGGGGGTGTGGGGTGGGGGGACAATTGCACACAAAACTCTACCCGTTATTTTTCCCGAATGCCATTTAATTAATGATTAATGTTATCTTGACAGGGGCGGTATTTAAAAAATGCTGAAAAATGTCTCGAACTGGAAACAAAACTGTCGTATAATTTCGTAACGATTATTGGAGAAAAAATTGTGTCAGTAAAAGCAAAAACTAAAAGAATTGTTCTAAACCAGCGGTTCTAAATAAAGTTGAGTAGGGTACCATCATAGAGCACAACAAACATGCAACAGTGTGTGACTGGGAGTATCTAGTAAAAAACAGTAAGTGGCGGATATGGGAGGGGGTAATCGGGCTGCACCCAAGGCACCTGAAATGTTTTATGAGAAGATAATGATAGTCCTTGAATGTGAGGTTATGCCAGCTAAGGAAAAGGGACTCTCAAATTGAAGCGAGGTGTCCAATGGCTGCTGAGTCCAACTCTGGTACTAATCAATGAAAATCGGACAGTGCCTCTCTTTAAATAAGATAATTGCTTTCTGAAAATCGGACAATACCTTACTGAAAATTGGACAATGCCTTTCTGAAAATCGGACAATGTCTTTCTGAAAATCAGACAATGGTTTTCTGAAAATCGGACAATGGCTTTCTGAAAATCGGACAATACCTTACTGAAAATCGGACAATGCCTTTCTGAAAATCGGACGATGCCTTTCTGAAAATTGGACAATGCCTTCTGAAAATCGGACAATGGCTTTCTGAAAATCGGACAATACCTTTCTGAAAATCGGACAATGGCTTTCTGAAAATCGGGCAATGCCTCCCAGAATGGACAAAGCCTGTCAGATGAGATAATTCATGTTTTTCTCGAACCTGTTGAAATTCGAGCCGGCTTTTTTTAGTCCTGTGGGAATCCTTAGTTTCCATTTGATTTAAGAGAATTAATTCTTGTCCCTACACTTTGTCGGTTTCATTGGGCGGCCCATTAGGCTCTGCCAGGGTAGTTTTCCATCAGATGTAGGCTCTATCAGGGTAATTTTTTTTATCTGATGGCAACTTTACCCTGCTTATATTTCATACATCATCTAGCCTTGTGTATGGGGATGTGTTCGTTTAAACAACTTGAACCCTGGTTATATTAGGACTGTATTGGGGATGTGATGGTTTAAAAAAAAATCTTTAGCCCTGGATAGATTTGATATCTTATCTAGGACTGTATTGGGGATGTGATGGTTTAAAAAAAAATCTTTAGCCCTGGATAGATTTGATATCTTATCTAGGACTGTATTGGGGATGTGATGGTTTAAAAAAAAAATCTTTAGCCCTGGATAGATTTGATATCTTATCTAGGACTGTATTGGGGATGTGATGGTTTAAAAAAAAATCTTTAGTCCTGGATAGATTTGATATCTTATCTAGGACTGTATTGGGGATGTGATGGTTTTAAAAAAAATCTTTAGCCCTGGATAGATTTGATATCTTATCTAGGACTGTATTGGGGATGTGATGGTTTAAAAAAAAATCTTTAGCCCTGGATAGATTTGATATCTTATCTAGGACTGTATTGGGGATGTGATGGTTTAAAAAAAAATCTTTAGCCCTGGATAGATTTGATATCTTATCTAGGACTGTATTGGGGATGTGATGGTTTAAAAAAAAATCTTTAGCCCTGGATAGATTTGATATCTTATCTAGGACTGTATTGGGGATGTGATGGTTTAAAAAAAAATCTTTAGCCCTGGATAGATTTGATATCTTATCTAGGACTGTATTGGGGATGTGATGGTTTAAAAAAAAATCTTTAGCCCTGGATAGATTTGATATCTTATCTAGGACTGTATTGGGGATGTGATGGTTTAAAAAAAAATCTTTAGCCCTGGATAGATTTGATATCTTATCTAGGACTGTATTGGGGATGTGATGGTTTAAAAAAAAATCTTTAGCCCTGGATAGATTTGATATCTTATCTAGGACTGTATTGGGGATGTGATGGTTTAAAAAAAAATCTTTAGCCCTGGATAGATTTGATATCTTATCTAGGACTGTATTGGGGATGTGATGGTTTAAAAAAAAAATCTTTAGCCCTGGATAGATTTGATATCTTATCTAGGACTGTATTGGGGATGTGATGGTTTAAAAAAAAATCTTTAGCCCTGGATAGATTTGATATCTTATCTAGGACTGTATTGGGGATGTGATGGTTTAAAAAAAAATCTTTAGCCCTGGATAGATTTGATATCTTATCTAGGACTGTATTGGGGATGTGATGGTTTAAAAAAAAATCTTTAGCCCTGGATAGATTTGATATCTTATCTAGGACTGTATTGGGGATGTGATGGTTTAAAAAAAAATCTTTAGCCCTGGATAGATTTGATATCTTATCTAGGACTGTATTGGGGATGTGATGGTTTAAAAAAAAATCTTTAGCCCTGGATAGATTTGATATCTTATCTAGGACTGTATTGGGGATGTGATGGTTTAAAAAAAAATCTTTAGCCCTGGATAGATTTGATATCTTATCTAGGACTGTATTGGGGATGTGATGGTTTAAAAAAAAATCTTTAGCCCTGGATAGATTTGATATCTTATCTAGGACTGTATTGGGGATGTGATGGTTTAAAAAAAAATCTTTAGCCCTGGATAGATTTGATATCTTATCTAGGACTGTATTGGGGATGTGATGGTTTAAAAAAAAATCTTTAGCCCTGGATAGATTTGATATCTTATCTAGGACTGTATTGGGGATGTGATGGTTTAAAAAAAAATCTTTAGCCCTGGATAGATTTGATATCTTATCTAGGACTGTATTGGGGATGTGATGGTTTAAAAAAAAATCTTTAGCCCTGGATAGATTTGATATCTTATCTAGGACTGTATTGGGGATGTGATGGTTTAAAAAAAAATCTTTAGCCCTGGATAGATTTGATATCTTATCTAGGACTGTATTGGGGATGTGATGGTTTAAAAAAAAATCTGTAGCCCTGGATAGATTTGATATCTTATCTAGGACTGTATTGGGGATGTGATGGTTTAAAAAAAAATCTTTAGCCCTGGATAGATTTGATATCTTATCTAGGACTGTATTGGGGATGTGATGGTTTAAAAAAAAATCTTTAGCCCTGGATAGATTTGATATCTTATCTAGGACTGTATTGGGGATGTGATGGTTTAAAAAAAAATCTTTAGCCCTGGATAGATTTGATATCTTATCTAGGACTGTATTGGGGATGTGATGGTTTAAAAAAAAATCTTTAGCCCTGGATAGATTTGATATCTTATCTAGGACTGTATTGGGGATGTGATGGTTTAAAAAAAAATCTGTAGCCCTGGATAGATTTGATATCTTATCTAGGACTGTATTGGGGATGTGATGGTTTAAAAAAAAATCTTTAGCCCTGGATAGATTTGATATCTTATCTAGGACTGTATTGGGGATGTGATGGTTTAAAAAAAAATCTTTAGCCCTGGATAGATTTGATATCTTATCTAGGACTGTATTGGGGATGTGATGGTTTAAAAAAAAATCTTTAGCCCTGGATAGATTTGATATCTTATCTAGGACTGTATTGGGGATGTGATGGTTTAAAAAAAAATCTTTAGCCCTGGATAGATTTGATATCTTATCTAGGACTGTATTGGGGATGTGATGGTTTAAAAAAAAATCTGTAGCCCTGGATAGATTTGATATCTTATCTAGGACTGTATTGGGGATGTGATGGTTTAAAAAAAAATCTTTAGCCCTGGATAGATTTGATATCTTATCTAGGACTGTATTGGGGATGTGATGGTTTAAAAAAAAATCTTTAGCCCTGGATAGATTTGATATCTTATCTAGGACTGTATTGGGGATGTGATGGTTTAAAAAAAAATCTTTAGCCCTGGATAGATTTTATATCTTATCTAGGACTGTATTGGGGATGAGATGGTTTTAAAAAAAAAAACTTAATGGGGTTCTTATCGATCAGAAATGTTACTTTTTCGAACAGCTGGTATCAACGACACAGTGAGACCAGGCAACTGGTTTCATGAATGTTACTGGCCAGATTTAAAAAAAAATAATAACACCTTTTTCTAATAACACGTTTTTTATATGCACTGAAAATAAAGAAATATTTCTTTTTTAAATTATATTTTATGAGCAACTAGGCGTACATTTTCTTTATAATTAAACGGGGAGTTTATAAGTAGGCTTTATATTTGAAGAAAATTGTTATATTTTTGGTACATATGTAAAAACTTGTTATAAACGTTTCATAAGCGTTTATTTATTTTTTCTCTTATTTTTCTTTCTCCATCATGGGTGGTAAGTTGCCAGCAAAAATTTCAACCACTTCAACCAAACACATTTATTTTAAACTTGACACGGCGGTCAAGACACAATTGCAATGCATGGTGCAGTAAACTTCAACAAAATTGGTTTTAATTTTTTTTAAATTAACTTTGACAAAATTAGGTTTAATATTCTTTTAAAATGATTTAAACATCTAATTATGTCAAAGCTCATGTGACGTTGCATTATTAAAAGTTTGCTCGCACCAACAGGGACGAAGCAAAAAGAGCAACAGAGGGATCAAGTTAAATGATTGTATAAAGGGAATGCTCCCCCCCCCCATTCTTCTAGTGTTTCTGGTAACATTTTGTTTTTCCAACTGCAATTCATGTTCGTTCAAATAAAAATGCTGTACGTTTTGTTTGTTTTTTAATTCCAGGAATCTAAATTTTCTTCAAAGAGAAACACGATTTGTTTTTTTTAAGTTTCATCATTGTTAAATCTCGAGTTCGATGCCTTTGGCATAAGATGCCCGTAGCACAAGACCGAAGCCCTTGGCACAAGACCGATGCCCATGGCATAAGACCGATGCCCGTGGCACAAGACCGATGCCCTTGGAACAACCCTATGCCCTTGGCACAAGACCGACGCCCTTGGCATAAGACCGATGCCCGTGGCATATCACGGGTCGGCCAAGGTTGGGACCACAGAAACAGGTGGACTCAGCTTCGCCTGACCTATATACAAAGTCAAGATTGCATGAATACTTTGCTTTTGTTTGATCACAAAGAACCCTTCAGTAGTGATGGGTGCAAGGCTAAGGGGGGGGGGGGCTGACCGCACCGGGTGACACCAAGGCAAAAAATAGCAAAATATATAGATAAAAATGATAATTCCACTTAATTAAAAGATTAATTTGAGTGTTAAATAGTGTTTTAAGAGGTGCAAATCAAAAGTTGTTTGAGGGGGGGGGGTGCAAATCGAAAATTGAAAGTTTGTCCCCGGGAAGGGTCGCTACGCCTCTGGGGGGTGACACCATTAAGTGGCGCACCACTGAGGCTAGGTTCAGGGTTTGATGTATCATTAGTATCAACGATTCAAGTATCAAAATATGTGGCTATGCCTAACCTAATCAAAGCAAGTCTTGAAATAATTTCCCCCTTACCTTAAAACATCCTTCAACGATTGGCCAATCAATGACGCCATCCGGGTCACCCGATGACGACACCATCAACAGCCCATCTTGGCTGCTGCCCTCAATCTCCCCCACCAGGAGGGGGAGGGGGTAGGAGAAGGCCTCCCTCTCCGCAACGTTGTGGAGCCGTATCTTCATGCTACAGCTCTACCCGGGTGGGTTACAGATTGGCCACTCTGGGCCATGGGCTTCAGTGGCCCGGTGCACAGTCGGCCATCAGGGCGCCAAACGGTGAGCAGTTGAATTCTTCTGGCGCCCTTCAAGCTGCGGGATAAAAAAAAATGTTAAAAAATTAAAATTGGCAAAAAAAAAAATCGAAGTAGTCAAGCGAAAAAAAAAAATCAGCTAATTTAATACAGATGACTGGAGATGCTTCGCGCTTTGTTTCAAGTGCCGGATCAATAACATAAAAAATTGATTTAAAATGTCAACATCCGAGGGCGCATCCCCCCCCCCAATCCGGTTCACACCCAAGTTACGCCATTTAGAGTACCTATACGTTTAAAAAAAACAGTCGTGTACACAATCATTATTACATACAGCATTCATACAGCACACATAGATTATGTACACAATCATTATTACATACATCATTCATACAGGACACATAGATTGTGTACACAAGCATTATTACATACATCATTCATACAGCACACATAGATAGTGTACACAATCATTATTACATACATCATTCATACAGCACACATAGATAGTGTACATAATCATTATTACATACATCATTCATACAGCACACATAGATTGTGTACATAATCATTATTACATACATCATTCATACAGCACACATAGATAGTGTACATAATCATTATTACATACATCATTCATACAGCACACATAGATTGTGTACATAATCATTATTACATACATCATTCATACAGCACACATAGATTGTGTACACAAGCATTATTACATACATCATTCAGACAGGACACATCGGTTGTACTCCACCTAACAAGTCTGGTAAAATAAAATAAACGAAGCTAAAGGTCACGTGATTTTAAAAATATCTCAACGAACGCGGCATCCGTCCATTCATGGACGTCTGGCCAGTAGCAAGCCATTCCAGAAACGTACGGACCAATCGGCGAGTGCCATCAATTTGGACGGGTCTGAGTTGGTTAAATAAATGGCTTTGTGATGTTTTCAGCAACAAGCCAGACCTAATCCTTTGCCAGTTGTCGCAGCCTTAACGGTCCAGCCGAGTGGGCGGGGGGGGGGGGGGGGGGGGGGGTGTCAGACAAAAAAACTAGAACTAAATGGAAATTTTTTAAACTAAAAAAAAGTGTATTTATTGAATGTTAAATATTAAAGGAATGACGGGCGCTGTTTGTACAATTGAGATGGTGATGATGATGATGTGTGTGTGGGGGTGGGGGGGGGGGGGGGGGGGGGGAGATCACACTATAGCAACGGTTCTTAACTTTTTTGAAAGTACTGAACCCCACTATTTTCATATACGCATTCATCGAACCACTTTTGTAATAGTTTTATTTGCCGCACTGACAAAATCGGATCGTGAATCATGTGACTCCGGTGTGTGTCTTGACCTCCGCCCAACCCTTGAGACTGACGCACCGAACCCCTGGTGTTCGACCGAACCCAGGTCAAGAACCACTATCGCAACGTAGACCGAGTTATTGACACACCTATAGCATGAGGTATTGTTGACACAACACCAACGTTGTATGTGTTTACGCTACACATGTGTAGAGGGAATTGTTGACACAAGTCTGGAGTGAGTTGCTGATCAAACGCGGGAGACTAGTTTATTTACATACAGGCTGTAAACATTAGCTTTACACACAATGGTTGTACACTTGAGCTATTTACACAACGATTGTAAACTTAAGCTATTTACATAGCGGCTGTAAACATGAGCTATTTCTACAACGGCTCAACGGAGTGAGTTTTATTTGACACACCCGCTGTAAGCGTGTGTTATTTACAGAACAGACTGTAAAGGGTAAGCTGCTTACAAGACTTTTGTAAATGGTTGGTTATTAATATTCGCCCGACGGTTGTTAAGCGAAAGTTATGTATGCACAAGACGGTTGTAAAGGGTAAGTTAAGTACGCGACGGTTGTAAAGGGTAAGTTATTTACATGATGGTTGTAAAGGGCAAGTTATGGACACGACGGCTGTAAGGAGTAAGTTATTTACATGATGGTTGTAAAGGGTAAGTTATGGACACGACGGTTGTAAAGAGTAAGTTATTTACATGATGGTTGTAAAGGGTAAGTTATGGAGATGACGGTTGTAAAGAGTAAGTTATTTACATGATGGTTGTAAAGGGTAAGTTATGGAGATGACGGTTGTAAAGAGTAAGTTATTTACATGATGGTTGTAAAGGGTAAGTTATGTGTACGACGGCTGTAAAGAGTAAGTTATTTACATGATGGTTGTAAAGGGTAAGTTATGTACATGACGGTTGTAAAGGGTAAGTTATGTACATGACGGTTGTAAAGGGTAAGTTATGGAGATGACGGTTGTAAAGGGTAAGTTATGGAGATGACGGTTGTAAAGGAGAGGAGTTATGAACACAACAAATATTTCATGCGAGTTTACCAATGATTAAATGAAAGAGCATAAAATTCAACAGAGCACCAACTACACCGTTTTATCACTGTGACCCGACTGGAAACGTACACATCCAACAAACCAATCAAGTGTCCAGCGTTAATTGAATGTTGATTGGCGCCAACGAAATGTCCAATATATAGTCAGTTCATTAAGTGCTCCAAATTAACTTCGGTATCAAATTAGCTGTGTGAGATTTAATCAACCTGCCGTAGATTGAAGTCACAATTTTTAAAGTCCAGTTTTCCCATACAGACTAACAATTTTTAAATCATTTTCTCATACTAGCAAATTAATCCAATTTTGAAGTCAAATTTTCCAATAGTAACAATACGTCAAATTTTAAAGTCCAAATTGTTCCATGTCTAATTTTGAAGTCCAATTTTCTATCCTAATCAAAATGTCCAACTTCCCCATACTTAAAAAAAATGTCCAATTTCTCCATACTAAACAATATGTCCTATTTTGAAGAGCAAATTTTTCTACCTTTAACAAAATGTCCAATTTCCCCATACAAATCAAAGTGTCCAATGTTTAAAAGTCCAGTTAAAAACACCAAGGAAACCTTGAATGTGAAGTCAAGTTCACCAGTATCAAGGGATGTCCAGCGCGCAGTCCGCTGTCACGACACTACATCCCGTTAACTGTCCACTAGGGACGTGATGGTTAGCGTGACATCTACGATCACGTTGCTCCCACACAAGTTTAAACTCACTACATTAGGGACAGCGTGACGCAAGCTCACTTGGCTGGGTATCGATTTATTGACTCCAATCTTTTGTCGAGTTCGGTGATCGATAGCTGGGGTAAAATTTAACGGCTGGTTTATTTCCAGATGCGGGTATCGTCTTTAGATGTTCATGTGGGCTGTACGTCAGAGGGGTCTAATAGGGGTCATCGGAACTGGTGGGGAGAGGGTGGAAAGAAGCCGCCATGGGGTCAGGGTGAAAGTTGTACGCTGGTGCTGTGGGTGTGGTTATTGTTAGGTCGTGTGAACATGGAATTCATTAGGTCATGTACGATATGGTAACTGGTAGGTCATTTAGGACATGGTAATAGGACTTGTAAGTTTTAAAAAGTAGGTCACCAACTTCTCGTTTTCGCATATCTCCATGGCTAACAAGATTCCGAATTTGAAGTGGGAGAGACTGAGACTTACAAGCCCTATTGATAGGTCATAGAGGATGGTAATTGTAGGTCATATAGGACGTAGTAGTCATTAGTTCACGAAAGACACAGCAATCTTAGGACATATCCGGTCATAAAGGAAAATATATTACCTAAGTAATGGAGGACATAGTCGGCTATGGCTATCATTATGTCCTGTAGGACCTGGATATGCCCTACAGGGTGGCGTGTGCAATGTGTTGGTATTCACGTGACAAAATCAGAACCCCGTCAATAGATTACTCCCCAAATCGGGAAGACAAGTGAATGATCCCACGTGACACAGCAGACCGAGGAAAAGATCCAAGTCATTTTATCCATTCGGGGCAAACGTTGAGGAAACTAATGGAACATAACTCTGATGGAATTATGGGATGGGTGGGTAGATCAGGCGAAAGGAGAAACGCTGTTATGGGAATAGTGCATACAGAGTGGGTCTGACACTAAGGTCAATAGAAAATGTAATTTTTTACTTTTTTTCTACGGCATCTAACTTGATGAATTTTTTTTATTCACTGAGGGTGGAAAGTAAGAGTAAATCAGCGTGATCACCGTCCTCCAAACGTGATCACCATCCTCCCAGCGTGATCACGTCCTCCAAGAGTGACTAGAATCACGTCCTCTAAACGTGACTATAATCATCAGTCATTCCAGTGTGACTAGGATCACGTCCTCTAAACGTGACAATAATCATCCGTCCTCCCAACGTGATTAGGATCACCGTCCTCCCAGCATATCTAAAACCTTACAATAATGTTTGCGCGTGGCAAATCAGCTTCCAATCTACGCCCGCTTACCACACTATTTACGATACAAACAAACCAGCCTGAGTACGTCAACAAATACAGCCGGTTCAGCCATATCCATCCGCCAACATAATAAAAAAAAGTCCCCGCGCCGAATGTTTTAGCAGCATCAAAGCGAAAAACCCCGAGCCAAAATCAATTCAGATTTCAGCTTTCACTAGTTAGCCTGTGGTCGACTTGATGGCGTGTCTCGTGTCAGATTAACTGCGTCACCGGATCCTTCCGCCGTCTGGCGAACAACCACCGTATCCCTCCGCCCACCTGTAGCCATCGCCTTCCCGCGGCGGGTCGGTTCATTTAAATTGCTGACCGGAATGTGCGGTCTGGCGGAGTTGCCTAAAACGTGCACATGAATTTGTCTACCTTCCACCCCCCTACCTGCCAATTGGCGCATCTATCAATGCATCGTTTGTTGCCGCCAAGTCTATTTATAGCACAGTATTTACCTTCAGCGTCTGGCACGTGGTTTCAGACGTTTTGTTTAATTTTCATCAACAGGAGATTCAAAAGCCGAAATGATTTTCCCGCTCCTACTTCCAACCGAAACGAAAAGATGCTAGAACCAACATGGGACGTTTCAGTTGGAGTTACAGAACAATTCTGGTGACCAGAGTTTCTACCCCCCGAAGAAAGTCTACCGCCCCCCCCCATTGGCCCCCGAACTAGTGTCCGCCTCCCCCCCCCCCCCCCCCACGAGAAAAAAGTCTGGAAGAAACACTGATGGTGAATACAGGGAAATTAGAACGTCAGTCTTTATACTAGTGTCACGCGATCAGACTAATGATGCCCCTAACACGATACACCTAGTGAAATCCTCGATATGCGATCTTGTGACGTATTACCCTCCCACCCCCCGCGACATAACCCCCCCCCCCCTCTTGTAGCTTAAGGTACAGTTAGGGTTAGCATTTGGGTTAGGTCTAGGATTAGCGCTAGCAGAGTTTCTTCCAGGCATCTCTTCGGGGGGGGGGGGGGGGACGAAGCCCCCCCCCCCCCCGAAAAATTTTTACCGCCCCCCGAACGAAATGAAATTTGTATCATTTATATAGAAAATATATACTTTTAACAGTGTCCGCCCCCCCCCCCCCCCCCCCCCCGAAGAAAGTTTACCGCCCCCCCCCCCCCCCCGAAGATTTCAAGTGTCCCCCCCCCCCCCCGGAGAAAAAAGTCTGGAAGAAACACTGAGCGCTAGGGTTTGGGATATGGCTGAAATTAGGGTTAGGATTAGCGCTTGGATTAGGGTTAGGCTTAAACTATTGTCTAGTGTTGGGTTTCGTTTTAAGCTTTTGCTTAAGGCTAGGATTAAGGTAAGATATAGATATAGATTTAAAGTTATGGTTGGTGTTTGGTTTAGGGTTAGGGTTAGCTTTACTTATAGGGTTGGATTTTGGAGTTAGTTTTAGGGTCAGGAGTGTCGGAGGGGAGGGGTAATTGACAGGGGAGTAAATTTGCTCGGGGAGGGGAGGGGTAATGTCGGGGGGATGTCCGGGGGTTAAATGATGGGGGGGGGGGGGTAATGCCCTAGACATATTCGTCACACATTCCGTATTGTGACGTATCCGTTACACCATCTCTAACGAATACGCGCAGGTTCTTTAAAGTGCATGCCAGAGCTGGTATTGATTACCTCGGCAGGGGAGACAACCATTGCTAAGGGAGGACACGTGAACTTAATACAATGGGACATACGGACAAAAATGGGGACAAGTGGAATAAAAAGAGGACAAACTTAATTCAATGGGACATACGGACAAAAATGGGGACAAGTGGAATAGAAAGAGGACACGGCGACAAAAATATGATACGTGGACGAAAACGAGGACATTATGACCCGAATAGAGGACGAGCGAATGTCAGAAATGGGGACAACTGAGGAAGACAGAATCTCCACAAGCAACCTGATGCTGTGTTGATAAATGTAGATCTAGCTCTGAATGTAAGTCACGTGATAAAAAGAATCACCGTCACACTAAACAAGCGATTCTGCACACCTGCTGTGAAACCTTACCTGTGCAGTATTCAACGCGAACTTCACATTAAACTTGACTAGAACAACTTTCTCAGTGGGGTCGTGAGATCAGCTGCTCGACAGCTTGTTTACGTCTGTCCACACAACATTATACCACACTGTAGTGTCAACAACCACACAACATTATACCACACTGTAGTATCAACAACCACACAACACAATACCACGCTGAATTGTCAACAACCACACAACATTATGCCACACTGTAGTATCAACAACCACACAACATTATACCACACTGTAGTATCAACAACCACACAACACAATACCACGCTGAATCGTCAACAACCACACAACATTATACCACACTGTAGTATCAACAACCACACAACACAATAACACACTGAAGTATCAACAACTACACAACACAATACCACACAGAAGTGCCACACTGTAGTATCAACAACCACACAACACAATAACACACTGAAGTGTCAATAACCACACAACACAATACCACAATGAAGTATCAACAACCACACAACACAATACCACACTGTAGTATCAACAACCACACAACACAATACCACAATCAAATGTCAACAAACACAGAGCTACTCTAAGAAACACCCGTCGCGGTTTCTTCATTACAATTATTTTAATTTAAAAGTTAATTAACGCATATAATTCAATGATGAAGTAAAATTAAAACTGCAAACAACATTTTCGAATATCAATTATAATCTGAATATTTCTTACAACTAGACGAGGCTTTAATTATATAATGTAAATACGTAAGAAGAGAAACGTGAAATCTCGGTGAACTCACGCGTGAAGGCTTCACGTTAATCCAAAACCTAAATCCAGTAATCCGTAAGAACAGAGCCAGGGGTAGGCAGGGCGGTAGAGAGAAGATTTTTGCCTCGCTCGTGCTTCAAACAGCGCGACCAGAAATGGCGGGAATTATGTCCCCTTGCTGGGTTGAGCGGTGCTAGAGGGCTGCGTTTGATGTGAGAGTTAATTTGAAGCGAAGGGCTAAAAATAGACAGCAAAAATTGGACCAGCGCAGGAAAAGCAACATAAACGCGCAAAGCTGCGCAATCGCTTAGCTCGAATCATTGACATGCGTATTCGAAACTAATTTTTTTTTCCTTTTTTAACACGATCCCACTCATGGAGAGATATATTTAGAAAATTACAACATCAACACCAGCAATTAACTGTTCAAAGCGGCCAATATTCATTGATCTCACAGACAGGATGCGGCTGACAGAATCAATACTTCCATCCAATATTATGACTCATCCGCTGCATCCAGAAACATGACACAGATTCATGAAATTCCTACTGCTACATGCAAGAAACTCGATTCGTACTATGGTTATAACGAAGACGAATAAATTTGTTACTGTTGTTACACAGTGCAATACAGTGGTCCTTTATGCAAGATAGTACATTATGTTTACAAATGCAAATAGAGGATTGTAATATTAAATAAACCGGGAGTGATCTCCCCTAAACTTTCTCGAATATTCTTATATAAAATAACAGGGGATGGGAACTCGGGCTATAGACATGATTTTTAATCCATTTTAAATACTTAAAGTTTTAAAAATAGAATAAAATCTCGTAGACAAATTAATTGCACACCAAGTGAACGCGAAATAAAAAAGCGCATAATAGTGCGCAATATTATTAGTACTTTTAAAATTTACATTAGTTTTTTGAGAAATCGGAAGTAGCGTAAAGTACTACTTCCAGTCAACGGAAATGACTCAAAATTTAATAGAAGGTAGAGAATTAGATCTTTTACTTACGTATGAAATTTCATTTATCTATCTGAAATAGTACTCGAGTTATAGGCTTTTGAAAAATTCAAAGTAGGAAAAGTACCACTTCCGGTTATCGGAAATCGCTCAAAAGTTGATACGGATCTACGATTTTGATTAAATACTTATATATGAAATTTCATCAACCTAGCTGTAACGGTACTCAAGTTATCGTGTTTACACACGGACACACACACACACACACACACAGACATACGGACAAGATTGCAAAATTATGTTTTTCCGTTATCAGTGAGATGCAAAACGTCGAGATTTGCAAAAATCTCGATTTTTTTTTTTTGCACGATTACAAGACTTTCTCTATACTTCGTATATACGAGAAAGTAAAAAAAGAACAATTCTTTTGTTCTTTAGAATAGTTAATGGCAGTATTTCTTCTAATTTTCGAGGGCGGGGGTGGGGGGCGGACACTGTTAAAAGTATATATTTTCTATATAAATTCTATTTCGTTGGGGGTGGGGGGTATACGTTCTTCTTGTATGATAAAAGTATTGTCTAAACAAAACATATTTTAAAGGTTTGGTTTTAGCAAACATGATTTTAAATACTGTTACATTCATTTGACCAATTATATTTTAAAATAAAACAAAGGCCAGTAATTAAATCGTTTGGATTGCTATGAAATATTTAGAGGGAAAAATTATCTTCTAAAAAATGTATTTTAAACTGGAACAAAAGGGACATAAATCTTTATCAAAAAATGTTAGGGAAATGTCCAAGTAATTTAATTATTTTAATACAGGAGTATGAATAGTGCGGGTCAGTGATCCACATAAGGGAACTCAAGAAAAGTGACCAAAGGAAACTACAGTAAAGTGGTACTGATTATTCCTTTTGTAGTCCCTAAAGAGTGCTGTGCTAGTTACAAAACTGGGTATGTAAATACATCACCTTGTCAAGTTTTTTTCAATACAACACTAGCGGAATATACTAGATTATTGAGAGTTTAAATACCATTAGCTAAACAGTGAACAGTACTTAAACAGCATAACATACTTTTATACCATAATTCTGATACATTGAGTGCAAGAAAGTAAGTTGCAGAAGGTAAAGGTGTGATGAAGTTTTAGTCATAGCCCAATTGCTAAAATTTTAAAGAATGGAGGGCAAAGTTTAAAAAAGTGAAATTGATATGACCCAATGCTAAAAAAGGTAAAATTGAACAACATCTCATAAAAACTTGAGATGTTAATAATTGTGAGAAAAAATGTAATTAATGAAGAAATCACCATCAATGCATTACTCCCTGGAGAGAAAACAACAAACCGTGAACACGCTAAAAAATTAAACAAACAGACCTGCTGAGCAGTGTTGACTCAATGCCAAAGTTTTGCCAGTCTGTGCTAGTGTGATTAACATTAATTGGGCCTGTCTAAAATTTAATTAGTACAGGAAAACAAACACTTTGGAATATTAAAATCTGATAATTCTATCCATGAAAGAATTTTGGTTTAATATTTAGCATTTTATACTGGGGCTTCTTGCCTTTTTGATTCCCAGGGAGAATATACCATTTTACAACATCCTTCCATACTTTTCAATACAGTGTACTTAAACATCTGTAGCATATGGTAGTACTTAATTCTGAAGCACATGAGAAATTATACGAAGTGCTTAAATTGATTTGTATAACTCATTTTGCCAACTTGATTACTGCAGGAGAGAAGAATTAATGCACTTGATTCAAAACACATTGAGTTTTAAAAACAGCTATATCATGAAAAAATTCAAAGCTAACCCATTATCAAAATAGCTTAAAAACACATAACACAAATGATATTGATAACTGCGATAAAATGCTTTTGACATAATAATTAAATTGATATATGCTGATATTTTTTGCAATATAAAAAGTTAATTACACAGGATCCTTCAATGGATATGTTGACATTTAAATAGAACTTGTTCCCCTTACAATGTCTGTTATATCCCTTTGTAATTAAGATGTCAAGTGAATTGATGAGTGGGAGTAATAAAATGACACATTCATTTATCCAAGTTTTAAATTGAAGACACTTTTTCCTTCATTTCAATAATGTTTTTAAACTTTATTTAAAAGCCATACAACTGCTAACCCACAGCCACCACAAGATAGGCATTTTTGTTAATAATCTTAAGTGGTACATGTAGCAATTATCACTATTAATATCATTACCTAGTGCCTATACATTAGTATACTAATAGTATATATACTCACTCATTCATTAGGCCTATATGTATTTATAATATTATTAATGATTTGAGTAGATTGTAGTTCTAGTACAGTAGTATTACTATTAATATTACATTGGCCAATCGTAGCTAGAAGAAGATGCGCATGATTTGAGTAGATTGTAGTTCTAGTACAGTAGTATTACTATTAATATTACATTGGCCAATCGTAGCCAGAAGAAGATGCGCATGATTTGAGTAGATTGTAGTTCTAGTACAATAGTATTACTATTAATATTACATAGGCCAGTTGTAGCCAGAAGAAGATGCGCATGCGCTTACTGCTACAAGGATCTGGTTTTTCTTGCATATAGATGTTCGTTGTTTGGGCCTGAAGGGGCAGGAATTGATACTTATTTTTAAAAGGCTATTAAAATAGAATTTTTTTAAAAATTATATTCAACTTACAGACTAGATCTCTTTACTAGATATATTATAAATATACTATGAACCCTCAACCCCTTGTGACCCGCCTGAAACGCAATCCCCCGACCACACCTTACAGATAGTTTTGTCAGAAGAATAAAAGACATTAAAAGGTTAATTTGAGCCCATTGCGCAGCTATTAAGATAATTGCATTTTGCATCTTCTGCTGGCCCAACCAGCGGCTGGAGGGCAGAAGGTTCTTCCGCACAATCACTTCGTATTTAATCAGGCCTAATAGTAGCCCAATGCCTAATACTATTAGTTACTTATTGAGTAGTAATAAAATAGTAGTGGAGCAGTACTACTAGACCAAGATTTCTAGATCTAGTAATAATTATAATAATTATAAATAAATATTTAGGGCCTATCTAATTAAAAAAACTAATAGGCCTAAACCCAAATTATAATTAATTTAATTTAGGCCTAGGCCTTTTGTAACAGTTATAATAGGTAATAATTATCAAAGTGACTACTTGGAAAAGATTTTTCGCCCCAGCGTCTCCATCTGGTCAGCAGAAAATACTAAACTCAATAGTTCTGCAGTGACCTTAATAGCTGCCCTAGGGTAAGGTCTAGAGTTAGAGTCCTGTTTGTCAACACACGCATGAGCAGTACCATCGAAAACATCGAAGCAAAGGAAAGTAGTAGTTTTTCTCCGTTGCGCATGCATATCTTTTTTCAGCTAGAATCGGCCTATAATTATATATTATAATAATATTTATATTAGGTAGCCTACTTGTTATTAGTTAAGGCCTAATTTATCAATTAACAATTAAAGTAACAGTATGTAGTATGTAGTATAGTATAGTATGTAGGCATATAATATAGGCCGATTCTAGCCGGAATAAGATACGCATGCGATTCGCATGCGCAATGGAGAGAAACTACGACTTGCCTTAGCGGCGATGTTTTCGATGGTACTGCGCATGCGTGTGTTTACAATAGCAGAACCCTAAAACCAACCCTAATCCTATCCCTAACCCTATCCCTAAAGCTATCCCTAATCCTATCCCTATCCCTAACCCTAACCCTAACCCTAACCCTAATCCTATCCCTAACCCTAATCCTAGCCCTAACCCTAGCCATAGGTCACTGCGCATGCGCAGAGCTATCTTTTGCCGACTAAGTGGAGACGTTGGGGAGAAAAATCTTCTTCCGAGTAGACACTTCGTATAATATAATATTTAATAGTATAGGCCTATGGTTTATTTATAGTATAATTAATTATAAAACTCTATCTCTTTAGCAGCTATAACAATCATTGTTATAACCGCTATAGGCTATAGAGATAGAGTATTATAATAGTAGTAGTACTTGAGTTAAAGTAAATTGTTAGTTTTGTTACTGTTACTGTTACAATACTAATTTATAATTTAATTTAATAATTTTTATAGGCCTAAATAATAATTAAAATTGACAATTGACAGTAAAATCAACTTTTACCTCAGTTATTGGTATCTTGCTAATACAAATCTCTCAAGCACTACGCACAGTTTTTTGACAGCCAGAAACAACTGATATTTTAAGTTATACACTATACACCCATGCAAGTTGAGTGCAGGTATTACAAGTGCTCGCTTGCTTCTGGTGTTTATTTTTAAAATGCATCAATATACAAAGGGCATTAACCCTCAAAACATAACTTGCCAGACTTCTTGTTACGAGGAATTGCCAAAATAATATGTTGCTAAAAATAGGTGTGAAAGGTAAATAAAGCTCCTGCACTCCAGTTTGTAAAAAGCGTTGGCAGATTTGTATGCTGGATTGTTCCAAGAATAAACATTAAAGCGCATATTGTGTGATGTTTTCTTTACATCAAATGTTATTTTAATACAAGCAGTGAAAGTGTCACTCACTCCTGTAGTGTAGCCTCACAAAGTGAAAGGAATATAGAGGATGGTTTATAATTTTGTTAAAATGTGTTACGTGGGGTAGGGTGGTGTTCTTTTCCCTTTATTCTCTAATTATTTATTTATTTATACTTTAGCGATATGTTCGCGATTAAGAGTTGTTGGATGAATGGATTGTCACAATAGCATTATGCAAGGATTTCTTTCAGACGTTTTTCTCTGCGGGATTTGAGAGGGGGGAGGGGAGGGGGGAGATCGTACACCTATATTAAAGTTTAATAATTAAAAAATGTATTTCATCGGGGGGGGGGGCACCCCATTGATAGATCTGAACCAGTGTTTCTTCCAGACATTTTTCTCCGGGGGGGCACTTGAAATCTTCGGGGGGGCGGTAAACTTTCTTCGGGGGGGCGGACACTGTTAAAAGTATATATTTTCTATATAAATTATATAAATTTCATTTCGTTCGGGGGGGCGGTAAAAATTTTTCGGGGGGGCTTCGCCCCCCCGAAGAGATGCCTGGAAGAAACTCTGATCTGAACTAAAACAATATCTTGTTACGCACTGTGTCCGGGCAAGCGCTAAAATGAACAATAACATATTTTTTAAACATAACATTGTGATAATTATTGTTACAACATCGTTTTTTGTTTTGTTTTACAAACTTGCATACCCGCCGACGCAATATTTAAGAGGATTTCATCAATGCCTTACCAATAATGTGTTTTAAGACGCGTGACCTTGTTTACTAAAACTTAATTTTTTAATTGTCTTCACATTCCCGCCCAGACGCCCTGTGGCGTGCTGTTTGTGCCCATTCCGTTTACGTTAATCAACCTCCGTAATAGTGAGTTAGAATACACCTCGGCTACGGCCCATATATCGGCCTGCCGTGTATGTGGTTCTTTAAAACGAATGTTGGTTACCCGACCGCCGGGGCGTCGGAAGACGCGCCTGGTTTGATTTAGTGAATTATTATAGTAAACCTTGGCAGGGTGCAGTTTTACTGGTGACACCCTATGCAGGACGCCAAATCAACGGATACCAAGTGTTAAGATATCAGCTCGAGAATCCTGAGCACCAAAACCAATCCGACTTTTGTTTTTATAACCGTATATATAGAAAAAAAATCACTGCCCATCCGAATTTTTTTTTTTGCCCGCAGAAACGATCGCAGGAGTACTCTCATTAATTCCTCAGTTTCACTGCGATCGGATGAAAGGTGTAGTAATGTATACATACACACATACTTTCATTTAAAAATATATGGAAATAGATCCTGAGCTTGTTGTTTTTTTTATCGACGATGTTGACTGTTTTCCTCTGTTAGCTGTTGTACCTTGTGTCTGGTTGTCTAGAAGATTGCTTACATTAAGTTAAATATAAATAGATGTCTCGTTTTTTCCCCCAAATATATAATTAACGACGTCAATTCGACTATATTAAGTCATTTTTCCTCTTTGGAAGGAGTTTGACATACGTGATGATGTACTTCGTTAAAGTGAGGGGACTAGGAGTACAAATCTTGAACCACGCGTTAAATGTAACTTGTTCAGAGGATGTGTAAATTAATGGGTTGGGAAACGGATACATTTTGTTTTCAATAGTGTTTCTTCCAGGCATCGCTCCGCCCCCCCCCACTACCCGAAGAAAGTCTACCGCCCCCCGGAAGAAATTAAATTTATATAGAAAATATATACAATATATAGTTTTAACAGCGTCTACCCCCCCCCCCCCCACGCCCCACCCCCCCAAAGATTTCAAGTACCCCCCCCCCCCCCTCATCCTCCACGGAGAAAAAAGTCTGGAAAATCGCTGAGTTGAAGTTATTCAGATTTTATCTCTGCGCCCTGATATATAAATTATCACAAAAGTGCCAAGTACGCCGGCGCATGTATTCTGATACTTTCGGCCCTCCTCTCATTATTTATCAAACGATATTTTTCTATTTCTCGTGATAACAATTAACAGTGAAGTTGGCGTGTATGCATCCACTGTTCTCGATTCATATATCCCGATAATATCCCCCCCCCCGCCCCATTATATCTTACAATTTAGCATAACCCAGATCTAATTTCCAACAATTCGCCAATCGCCTTGTTGTTAATGGCTCGCTTGAACGGCTTTAGGTAAATACTAAAATAGCCGGCCCGTTCAATCAAGTACAGGATGAAGGGCTGTCGAAGACATTTGCGACCACATTTAGCGGTGATGTAACGCAGACTATCATAGGGGGCACTTGGAAATTCTCAGTCATGACCATCGCTCAAGTTTAATCCGCTTATAGGCCTGTGTAATACAGCGCCATTTTAGAACAGACCGTCCAGGCGAAGCAGAGTCATTCTGTTACCCTGATCTTGACAAATATATATATATATATATATATATATATATATATATATATATATATATATATATATATATATATATATATATATATATATATAGGAGTGTGCCCGGCACCATGCTCGCCTCGCCCGTCTTTACATTTCCCGACTTAAAACTTAAGTCAAAGCGAGATGGATACGGGGGCGTCTGCGGACTCTACCCCCTTGAAACGGTGAACCAAGCCCCAGGCTTCTTGGTTGGTAATCGTACGTTCTACTGTTCCCATACTGCCCCATATCGACAAACACTAACCATGACAACACCTTACTTTCGCCATAAATTAACTTTGACCGCCATTTCCCTCCACCCCTCCCGCCGCCTCAACGATGCATAACATAATAAGTCTGCTGTAAAAAGTTGGAGTTTTTAAAATTAACTAGAATCTATGTAGCGTGCGGTCCATGCACAAGGAGAACTAGGCTAGTCCCTCTATCAATAAGTATTATACTCAGTCTCAAATAATAAGTGGTTATTTTATTTTTTATTTGACGATGTTTTAACATGAATCGTTTTAGTATTAGAAAGCGCCCATGGCATGCATGAAAATACGCGTTGTTCTGTAAGGTTTTCATTTAAGTTACACTAAAAGCTATGTAAAATATTTATTGGAATCGAATTGTAATTTTATTTTTAGTTATAATTCATATCTAGACAAGATCTATAGTCTAGATCTAGAAGTATAAATTCATAATTATTTTGTTTTACTCTTTCAACTGTGTCACCAACAATACCAAAAGTAGCTTAGGCCTACTCCTGCTTCCACTTTTTGATTACTGAAACTTCTCCTAGAATCAGACCAATCAAACCATCGACTAAATATAACCAGCCAATAAAATCGAAAAGGAAATTCCGTTGAATTTTACGATGCCTTCATGTCGGCCATTAGAATCCTACAAACTGTTTTGGCCGTAAACAAAAATGACAAGTCACCGAATTGGTGTTAACCTTAGGGTTTCTGGAAACTGTGATCAAGGTGCTAGAAAGTATATGGAAGATAATCATGTTATTAAATTCCTTAAAAAAGATACGGATGATTATGAATTTGCGTATTTCGGTATTTTTGACGGACACGGCGGTCCTGAAGCATCAGTTTTCTGCAGAGACAATCTACTGAACGAAATCACTAAATTCGATGGCTTTTGGACAGACGACGACGACGAAGTTCTTACAGCAATCAGAAAAGGATTTTTGGATACGCATCATGCAATGTGGAATGTTCTCGGTAAGTTTTTTTTACTATTTGTGATGTTTGGTCTTTGTTGGCGGACTTTCTTCATTGTTCTGTTTCAAAAGTTAAAATTTAAACTTCAAATGAAGAGTCATCATCAGTCATCACAGTCAACTTAATAATAAAATGTAGACTAGATCTAGATTCTAGATCTAGAATCTAAATAAATCAGGCTTCTTAAAATATTAAAAATAAGGCATAAACCCTAAGCCTAATTATTTATTTTAATTAAATAGGCCTATTAAATTAAATTAAGCTTGGTTCTGCAGATTCTTGGGCAAATGGTGTGACACTATTATTTAATTTGGTCATGTTTATTTATAGACTAGTATTTTATAGCCAAAAGCTCAACTAAAATCTAATGGAAAAGAAGTAGATCTAGGCCTAGAGGCCGTATGCCCTCTGATATTTATTTATAAATTATATTTAATATTTGGCTGTTAGGCTTACATTTTCATGATTAGGCCTAAGCCCTATTTAAAACTTTTTAGAAGGACCTGCTTTAAAAATGTAAAATTCCCCCTTTTTGATTTGCTTAATTGAACAGGTATTTACTAAGTATTTACTACTATTGAGGCATAAAGGTAATTAATACTAATTATTAGGCCTAAACTATAATTATACCCTTCAGATTCCTGGCCCAAGACTGTCACAGGACTTCCAAGTACTGCAGGTACTACTGCAACAATAGCAATTATAAAACAAGGAAAACTTTACACTGGTCATGTTGGAGACTCAGCTTTAGTCCTTGGTGAAAATGATGAATATGGAAGTGGCCCATTTCCAGTCCAGGCTATTTGTATTACAAAGGTAGCTATTTTTTTTGTCTCTGTTGTGAAGCCAGCTAAAGTCTTAATGAGTGGTTTAATACAATCACCAGACCAGAACTGTTCATCATTTTGGTGATAGAGGCAGTTTAAACTAGCTATAGTATAAAAGCCAGTTGAACATATTTGTAGTATCATTGAGCTGTAGTTTGTCTTGTGATTATATTTTGTAACTGGGGTTGGATAGCATGTAGTGTATGTCTGAAGAGCTTTAGGACACTATAAATTGATTGCTGAATAGTATGGTGCTGTCCCACTGTTGGCGGGATTTCTTTATAATATTACGTAGGGGATATTTTGTATGATTACATTTGTTCAGTTGTTAAAACTATTTCCACTCTGTATATTTAAGGAACACAAGCCTGATGATCCAGATGAAAGATTGCGCATTGAAGATGCTGGTGGTGAAGTTATCAACAAAAGTGGTGTTCCACGTGTGGTGTGGAGCAGACCAAAAACTAATCACAAAGGTCCTGTAAGGAGAAGTACACAAATAGACCAGATACCTTTTCTTGCAGTGGCCAGGTCATTGGGTTAGTTTTTCTCTATTATTAATTTATGAATTAATTACTCAGTTTAGTGCTGTCAGTTTTGTTATGGTTTGGAAAAGCCGACTCTTTACCCAAGGACTAACTACTGCTTTTGTTGTTTGAAAATAGTAATAACTATTCTTAACAAACTTTTATTTCTAACAAAAGCTAAGCTTATCAATTAAATTGAAAATACTTAAGTTATTGTTTTTAACATTGCAAATTAGTTTGTACATGAATTTACAGTTTTTAAAAATGATTGTTAAATCTGTTTTTAGGTGACTTGTGGAGCTATGATTATTATACAGAAACTTATGTTGTATCTCCTGATCCTGATGTTGCTGTGTTAAAGCTGGATCCCAATAAACATCGTTGTCTTATCTTGGCTTCTGATGGCTTGTGGAATATGTTGACCCCTGAAGAATCAGTTAATATGGTCATGGACCTAGAGACACAGTTTGAACAGAAAATAATCAATGATCCTGTAAGTTTTTATAGCACCCAGTGTCAAGTAAAATCTAAAATTTGTTGCCTTTTTGGAATTATTTCCTCATAAGTTGTATTGATCAAACACTATAATATTTTTAAAAAAGAGGGAAGTGCATAGAGTTTATTACTATTAAAAAATAACTATTGAAAACTTTTTATAAAATTGGCTTTAGTAGCAAATGAGTTAACCTTTAACTACCTTATCACCCTCCCAAAACATTAACTTTGAATTCCCAAATGTAGGGATCACAACTCTTGATAAATAAGTGAATACAACATATTCCCTTTATTTCTAGACAAAATAACATACAAATTCATATTAAAAAAACTATTGTTAAATGTTAGAAATGAATCTGGCTTTTCAGCAATATTAAATATGTTATAAAACATTCAATAAAAAAATACTGGAAAAAGCCTGATTGGTCATTAACGCTAAGGCAAGGCAACTTTTATTATCAACATAGTCATGTCTAATAAATATAATTCACTATGTATCTAGATCAATATTGATAGTTATTCATATTTATAGGCTTAGTTAAATTTATTTTTTAAATTTTAAAATATTGAATTGAAAGTTATATAGGAAGTTGAAAGTATTCTACTTCCTAATTTCCTATTCAAATCTGCAGATCATTTGTTTTGTTTTTTATTTGTATCATCTTTATCTTAACAGAATGTTGCTGTCAGTTTTTGGAGTAATCCAGCCGAACGTTTAGTTTCCCGTGCACTCAACAAATGGAGATCTAAAGCCCTCAAGGCCGATAATACATCTTGTGTTGTTGTCCTCATTGACCCCCTCGGACCATCCAAGTTGACCCTGCTAAAACGCAAACGTCAAGAGCTGCTTTCTGGCGGAGAAATTACCAACTGTCAAATCAACAAAATGCCTAGACTTCCCACTGAATTAGATCAGAGAGGAAAATCTCGTAACAAAAATGCTAATTGTAGTTTAAGTGACAGTCACATCCGTGTAACTGATGATTCTATAATCCAGTCTGCTGTTGAACACATGATGCGCCGGTCATTTATTGCCGGGCCTAAGCCAGAGGACAGTTGTAATGAAAGTGTCAACGACAGTGTTCAATACATACCTAAAGCTCTGTCTCGTTGGAACAAAACAGATGTCAGACAGGGTAATCAGTCACATCTAAATCGGACTAATCAAAGTCCCACCAACAGCCATAAAAAATCAGGCTCACCTGTCTTCACCAAGCTGGTTATCCCCAACAAACCCAACTATAGTGTTACCTCAAAGGGTAAACATTGCACCAAAAATCCATGTGAATTAACGGAAGAACATGTTAATGAGATTAAAAAACCTGGAGAGACGGAAGAGTCTGACTCAGAACCTGATAGGCCTATACCTCAACCTCCACCATGCACACCATGCTCAGTTAAAGACCTGGACAGAAGCAACGAAAGTGACGGAGAAAATTCATCCCGCAGCTCAGCTAATGTAACTGATAAGGCTTTTTCTCTTGCTTCAGATGAGAGCATAGAGTCTCCCAGTTCATCTTTTAGAGAAGGTAGCCATCCACCAACGCCACACAGTGCTCCAGCCAAACTTTCCTCCACTAGAAGCCGCAGGGGACACATCTCCAAAAGTGCGCAGCGCAAGTTGGCAAGGAGTGGAAGAAAGTTGCAGCCTCCATCCAGGTCAAAGACCAAACTCTCAGCCTCTATGGTGAAATCAGGAATTGTATCTAATTCATCTGTCCTGACAACAACACTGGAAAACAGAAATTCTGTTTCTAGTGGAGAGAAAGTTGACATTACCAAAGCTGTTGAAAAAGCAATATCTGCGCAGTCTGATAAATCACCTCTCAAAAGAGTGTTGAACACTTCCAAGAGTATGAATGATGTGGCCACGCCCAAGGACAAAAGAGAGGTCACACGCACTGTGTCTTGTACTGGTCTAACTCCTGAGATGAGCTTTCTCTTGTCCAAAAAAACAAAATCAACCTATGTCTCCAGTGCTAAATCTGGAGACATAGCTAGTCATTTGTTTCATTCATTCATGGCTGCTGATATGGCTACTGCTGCTTCTTCTATTCAATCACGCAAAGAGCTGGCTATGATTGTTGATGACTTAAATGAAGCTGACTTGTCTTCCATTCCTCCTATTGACCCACTGAAACAGCTTAACAAAACAGGACCAATTAAAAAACATGGCTCCAAGAGGTGGGGAAACTTCTTGCGTGCATCTAAAATTGGTATTGACCACATGTTTCATCGTAAAGATCACAGCTCTGGGCCATGTAAATTGGCTACAACTTCAACAGGGAAATTGGAACGCAGCATTACAAAAGTTGTAACCAGCAAAAGCACATCTGTTTCAACATCCAAGCTCTCAGACCTAAACCATCATCTTCCTGATATCACGGTCAGTCACTTAACTGACCTGACAACACTGTCAGCCCTATCAGCAGAGGACAGTGTGTATGATGGTGACATGACAGAAGCCCAGCATAGTATCTTGTCTGCAGCTGACCTGACCTCCGCTCACAGTATGCTAGAAGAGGGAAAGGTTAAAAACAGGAAAGGATTTCTGCAGAAGACACGGGTCACATTGAGGAGAGCTAGAAAGGCAGCTAAGAAAGCATTTTTTCCTGAAAACCATCGGCTCTTCAATCACAAAACCTCAGGGGCCAAGAGAAAGAGTGATGAATTTTTACCTACACCCGATTTGAAAAGGCGAAGACAACTTGAAGCAAAATAAAGCAGACTGGTGTCAAACAGTTTTAACGTCCAATCTTTTTAAGTTTTAATAAAAGAACTAATATCCTGAAGACTGATGTACAAGGTTTCATTTAGCATATTATATTTTATATTTTTACCAGACTGAAATTTTTATACTGTTTATTACAAACAAACCAATATAGTTTTAATTGGGCTGGTCAAAAAATGAACTTTTAAAAAAAAAAATTGTAATACTTGTGCAATATAGTGGGCGACTCTTGAAGCTGGAGTGGCTTAGGGCAGATTTTTCATCTTTGTTCAATCTTCATGTAGTTTTGTAGGCAAACATTTTAAATCTAAGGTCATCTAATGTGTACATAAACTTGTTTTCCTTATATTTATTGCATTGCTATCAAAGATTATTTTGTTAGTATCAAATTAATATTTTGATTAAAATGTGCATTCTTTCATTGGCAGCAAACACGCATTTCTTAATTTATTAAAAAGAATTAATAAATACTAATACATTTTTTTTCAAATGATATAGATTCCATGGATGCATTGTTGTTTGTTTACCTTTACAACAAACTGAATGCTTTAAGCTTTTTAAAAAAGTAACAAATCAAGGCAGTTCAGCATTATTCTCAGAAACAAAAGATAAAATGGTTCATTATTGAAATCAATAACTTTCAGCTAAATTTTGAAATATTGCTTAGTAGCTTAACTTGCACAGGCTTACATGCATTTGTTTACCATATATTCCTAAATTGATTTTCCTTTTTGTGTGGTAATATGCTGGTTACATTTATTACTGAATTTTAATGTTCATGTCAAGGCATTTTCACTACTGAAATCCTTTACTCTTACCCTATAACCAGAGGTGTATTTTTCCCTAGGGAATTTTTATTTCAGTAAACTTGTTTCCTGCTGTGTGTGAATATTTATACATTTTTTTATACCCCAAGTTGCTGGATTGAAATAAAACTGAAGCCTATTCATTCTGCTGTAGGAATTTAATAACCTTCAAGTAACATGATTAATAAACATATATTTAAGTTTCAACAAATTATCAATGCAATTGTATTAGGTATATTCTCCTTGGTTGATACTGCAGTGGTTTCACAGTAATCAAAACAAAAAACCCATGTATTTTAGTTATACCCCTACAAGTTTTACATATAAATCCAGCTCTGCAGCTGCTTTAAAATGTGTTCACAAAAAAAAAAATAAAGATTTGAACCACATTACATGTGTTGTATCAGTCAAATTGTTAAATTATTTTAAATTGCTGGTTTTGATATTTTAAATCAATAACTAGTTTTCCAAAAAATAAACACTTTAATAAAAACAACCTAAATAATTCATCACTGAAGTATTTTATGTTGCTGTTTTAAATTGTGTAAATATTTTTTTAATTAGGTTATGCAAAATTGTAAAATAACTTTTCACTGAAATCATTAAAGAAAAATAATTGAAAATATCAAATCAGTGCTTTAAACAGCTGCACATTTAAAATTGTCCCATAATGTATGCCTTTTTTAATTACTAAATGATTAATCCGTAACATTAATAATTATGTGTGTATCTTGTTTTTCTTTATTAAATGTAAATATATATGTTGACATGGTTTCTCTATAAATAAGTATAATTATAGAATATTGTTCCCCCGTAACTAATGTTCAGGTAAAAGAAACATCATCCTTAGCAATAATATCATTGTACATATAACCATCACAGCAACTGAACCTCAATAAAATCCCAACAAAGTATGTCTTGTATTATGTTGTTCATCTAATAGTATAGATCCCAATATTAAAAGTCTACAAAACTAGTGGGCATTATTCACTCACTTTGAAAATACTAATTCCCTTTAAACAATTTAATTCATCACTTGTGTTCACAGAGAGGTCTATGTGGCTGGCAATCATTACAGCATTAGCAGCTGACTGATGTTTGCTACTCTTGATGGTTTTATTTGATGCTTGCCATACTATTGTTTGCAGATAACATTTAGCATCATTACATCCTTCCAACAAGCACAGTCTGTCATTAGATGCACACCCAGGTTTATTCTATTGACATTATGATATGAGTTACTTCTGCATCAGACACAGATAATGATTTACTTTTCCCCATGGCTTCTGAAAGTTTCACAGCTAGTACATGCTTGCACTGGGGGGAAAAAAGGGTTTAAATGTACTCAGTACTACTGGCAAATACCAGCATTACATCATGGATAATTTGTAAACAAAAGAACTATATAAACTTTTAAATGACAAAAGAAATAAAAATGAACACTGATTTTCTTTAGCCATACACATAACTATGTTCAAAAATGTACTGGAATATTTCATGAGTCCTATCCATCAATTTTTGCTATTACAGCTATTACTTTAACTAATCACACAAATGACTACAAGTAGTTCAACCAAATATCGTTGATCAAGTGACATTAAATCAAAATAAGTAGAAATCTACTGTTTGCCACTTAAAAGCGTCAATTTTTGCTCTAAGATTTGTAATCAGCACTGTCAACAACAGCTCACCTGATGGATCTCTACCACCTTCTAGTTATTTCACTTTTGTTATAGTATTAAGTCATCTTTAAATTAATTTGTATGGCTAATTTAATATTAAATGTGTTTCACAAAGAAGTGAAAGCACTCCTTAAAAATAAAGTCATAAAGTGAGTTACAAAATCTGACTTTAGACAGACAGTACAATAAAAATGCTGAAGGTGTGTTACAGGTTAAAAATATTAAAAAAAATAAGTACATTTAACTAGTTATTTCAGTCTTATTACAAAAAAAAAGCTACTCTAATATGAATTTAAAATCAAAGAATTAGTACAAGTATTTCATAAATAAATGCATCAGTGATAAAATGGATTTATCAATTGCATTCCTGTTCAATTAAAAGGTCTTATGCAGTACAAATTTTGTTAGTGTTTGTATTAGCTAAATGCCACTAAATGTTACTTACCATCATGTGATCTTCTTTTCTTAAAACTGCAAGAAGAACAAAAACTTTTCAGTAAGTTAGAAGATACTTTCTTTACATTTAATGTGTTGAAAAAGTTATTTATTTTCTTGCTTGTCCTCCTCAGTGATGAAAAAGATATGTAATTAGTAGACAAATAGAATTGTGTGCTAATGATCACAGATGGTCTTATTATAAAGTTACCTGAAAAATGATAAGCTGGACAGGAACAGTAATTTTCTCTTGCAAAACAGGTGTATGGGGTGCCAGATGCTCCTACAACCTAATCATTGAGACAAAATGCTGAAACTGTACTAAACTACAATTATTCATTTAAAACTAACAAATAGGCCAAGCATCTAAACAAGGGTTAGGTTAAAGAAAAAATATTTTGTTTTGTGCTTATATTAAATCATCTATTAAATAACTTTTCTTGAAAAATTATGTTTAAAAAGATGATAATGAAACAGCTTTAAGTTTAAGAACTACTTTTAAATAGTTCACCTGAAATAAGGCTCTACCACTAGGGGAGACAATCTTTGTCACTGATTGCTTTTCAACTAGTTCTAAAGCTGATAAAAGCAGACCTTGAAATGTAAAATTCAGCCTGGTGATAGAAATTTGTTTCATTCCCTAAATGATCATAGGTAAAAATGATGAGTATTATAAACATAAATAGCTAAGTATAAATATGATGATTGCAATACTCATCTTCATTTCAAAACAATTGTTTGCTTAAAAATAAAACAAATTTTATAACACAAGCATTTTAAACTCTTTTTTAAAATAAAAAAAAAAATGGTCAAAATACAATTACTTGAAGTTCCATTTATATTCAATTCAGCTTTAGAAATTTTTTTTTATAACATGTTTGTGACAAATTAATAGAAAAGTAAATAACATTAACAAAAGATCAAATGTGTACTTACAAACTTAACAAATCATCAGACACTGGAGAATGATACAGTACAGAATATAAATTAGGTATTATTGGTTTTACTATTTAAAAATGTTAATTAAAGAATAATATTAGAAAGGGTTATATAAAATTTAATTTAAATCATATGCCAGGAATTTGAGTACTTCAAGTCAAAACACTCTGAGTTGCATCTGAAGAAACTAATTATAAACCTGATGGCATGCATCTTTGGCTGTGGTATGAACACAACTGCCTCAATCCTTATGCTATTTTTTAATCAAGTAAATTGATGAAAAATGTATGTAGAATCTAGGTTAATGATTATATAATTTTAAGTGTCAAAACTGAAATATAAATTGCAATGTAGTTTATTAATATATTAAACAATTATAGATGATAAAAATAATTTTATACTAAAAAAACTGTTTCAACAAGACAATGATTATTTAAATAAATCAAAACCTCTTTGTATATACAGTGAAATTACACCAGGATGGAATATGGTAACAAAATTCTTACATTTGCCATGTAGTGTATAAGCATTTTTGACTTCAAGCATTAAATGCTCTACCAACTCTTGAGCTTCTTTTACTTCTGAAAAAAAAAACAAATGTAGATTTCAATTGCAGGTTTTAATTGTAGATAAAATTTAACCTAATACTTAATATATAATATGGTAAAAAAAAATGTGTATAAAAAAATAAAATTATAGCTAGACCAAATTATCTATATATATAATTCTCTTCTTGGAGACGTTAGAAAACACCAAGCTGTAAGCGCGCCTAGCAGTCTCCTCTCTTCCTCTCTAGGCATATAGCAACCACTCCCACATGGTCTGGTGAGCTGTGGTTCACGCTAAATGTTTACAATCGTAGAGCCGGGTTTAGTGACGCCTATTAGGGGCAGATAATTTAGTTTGAAACTATTTTAAACTTAGGGGAGGTAACTAAGAGGAGGCTGCTTTCACGGGGGGGGGGTGTAGGGTAGGCAGAGTTTCTTCCAGGCATCTCTTCGGGAGGCGCTGCCCCCCCCCCCCCCCCGCCCGAACGAAATGAAATTTATAACCTTAACCTACCTATTCAGTAGACGATTCCTTATTCTCTTTGTTATTTTGTGTGTGTGTGTGTCTGTTATTAGTTATCAATACCTGGACTACCCTAACTTTGATTGATATCATTGATAATAAAAAGAAACTCCATGTGCTACAATTCCTAAATACTAAATAGTGAATAGGCTACTTTAGTAATTACAATACTGACATTGTAATTCTGTATACTGTATAATATTGCAGCAAAACCCCTTAATTACTAATTACTAAATAAATATACACTTCACTAAACTAAGGAGCGCATTGCTACCCAATATCCATACCTTCAACTTGAATTACCATGGACCCAACTTTAGCCTTAACTACACCCTAACCTAAAATTAAAACCATTGGTATTATTAAGTTTTCTTCTGAGCAAACAAACTTACTTTGTTGGCTATGATTAAGATTTGTCAGATCTAGGGACATCATGAACCATTGATTGACTGGCTGGCACTTGGAAGAGAAGTCAAATCCAAATCTACTTCCAGAATTGATGTTGTTGCAGCTTCTGTAAACCTCTCTGACTCTGTTGACTGTTGTTTATCAACTGTAGAGAATATTAAGCATTAATAAACACAGAGTAGATGGATCTAGATCTAGACGAAATGGGGAAGGTGGTAACTAAAATATTAAAATAACATTAATTCATAATGGGAAAAAAATTAGCCTAAGTAAGTAGAAAGTTAAAGTAGAAACGCGTCTGCACCCTGGAACTAACAAAATTTAAAAACAGTTCAAAGTTCAATAGGTCAATGGTTAGCAGGGGAAAGGTTATTGAGGGTCAAAATGGCTGGTGAACCAGAAAGCATAGAGCGAATTCTTGATGAATTCATTCCTGCAGATAAACTGAAGGATGTAAAGCGTTTATTTTATGGTGCAAGCCTTCCGTAAGATTGTGTCCTTATTAATTTTAAATATGAAGAGTTTATTTTGAATGCATTAGACTTAGAATCTACATTTGTTAGATCGTCAAAATTTCTTCCATGGAGGAGTGAAATGAAGGAACGAGGGAGGTAAAGGGGGGGGGGGGGGGGGTTGAAAAGGGAGGTCAGCATTTTTTACTGGTGGTGAGTTATACAATCATTATACATTTTTATATAACTATTCAATTTAATAAAATTTATCATTTTGCGTTAGTCCGTAATGGCTGACCCTATAGATCTACTATCTACCTATTAAATACAAGCCTATTATAGTAAGCTTATTGATAAATATGGATGGATAATTAATAACCTCTGATTAATAATTTATTAATTTTATTAGGCATTAGGCATACACCTACTACTGCATATATCACTTATAAGAGGTTAAAATGTTGTTTTTTTCCCCACCGTTCTATCTAGCTCCCTTGAGCTTCCATTAGAAGCACAGGCCTTGGCAGATGAGAAAAACTTTGAGGTCAGAGGTTATGTTTTCCAGGCAGCCCAAGAGAGCACAAGGGCCCCAAGAGTTGTTCGTATTGCTGGTATACAGAACCAGATAGTCTTGCCCACCACAGCACCTATAATTCAGCAGGTTATTTCATTTAAGTTAACTATGGTGATTTAAAAACCACGGAGGACGGAGTGATTGAGGACCCATTTGATAGTTGGAACACAACCTTTGGGCAATGTTTCTCTCGGATACCTTAAACTAGGGAAAGGGGAGGCAGTAGCCAGGGGGGGGGGGACATATGTCCGCGGCGCCAAAATGGGTTGGAAAAATAAATTGCAAGGTTGAGAGGGGTGTAAATCGAAATCTCGAGGTGGGGGGGGGGGGGGTGCAAATCGAAAGTTTGAGGGGGGTGCAAATCGAAAAGTTTGTCCCCGGCGCCGGGAAGGGAGGGTGGGGGGGGGGGGGGGGGTAGACTATAGTAAAAGTCCTGTGGTACCTCGAGATATCAGTTTAATTCATTCAGTAACATTGCTTGTATGTCAAATTGCTTGTACCTGAAAGCAATTTTTTTCATTGAAATTGGAAGAAATGCCACCCCAGTTAGAAAGTGTATTATACATGAGAAATAGATTTTAATACCATACTAAAGGATAATTAAGGATTACTTTTTATGAACTATGTAAAATGGGAAGGGGTAAAAAAAATTGTAAATTTTCCATGTTTAAAGAAAAAATTTAATTATTTAAGTCTTAAAGTCTTGACTGACATTATTGTTGCCAGGAAAACTGACAACCACTGTTAGCACTGTCACTTGTGAGTTTATCTGAAAATTTTATAATTTCTTCTTGACCAGAGAGATGCCATTTTCAAAAGAATTGCTGAAATTATTCAATGTGCAGCACTGTGCAAGGTGAATGTTGTATGCCTGCAAGAAGCTTGGAGTAAGTGGTGGTATTAGCAAACAATAAGATTTAAGACATTAGTTAATTATTAAGTGGTGTTCTATAAAAGATGTAAACTCTAAGGAGAGAGTTTGGAATTTTGTGACAGTGTAGTGACTGAGTTCAGAAAGTATGATGATACACTTTTGCTTTTAAAAATTTTTTAGGTTGTTTTTGTAAAATATTATTTAAATGGATTATTCTACACAATGTTGACAAACTACAGAAAAATATTTTAGGAAGTTATTGATGTTTAAAAAAAACAACACTGCTATTTTGAGGAGGAGAGGGTGGGGGATTGTAGGCTGAGATGTGATGTGTCATTTCAAAGGTGGGGGGAGGGGGGTGGCTTTATGTAATGATAAAGGAGGGGGTGAGTTAAAAATCATTGATGGATTGCACCTAAAGCAGTAGGATTTAAATACAATATAACATTCATTATTTACTGATGACAAGTGTGCCCTTATGGTGACTTGATTTAAAATTATTATTTTATGAAAAGCTTGCACCAAATTTAGCAAAACAAAATACTAAAATTGTAAAATTATGTTGCCACTGTGAAGAAAAACGGAAATGTTCTATTTTTAGCCATGCCATTTGCCTTCTGCACGAGAGAGAAGCAGCCTTGGTGTGAACTAGCTGAGTCAGCAGAGTCTGGCCCAAGTACTAAATTCTTGCAAGAGGTCAGTGAACTATGGTTTATTGTCTTACCTAATTGATACAAGGCACACTGTGATGGAAAGATTGCTTTTAAGATTAGCATATTTATTGAGCTGACCTGTATCATACAGTCTGTAAGCTTAAGTCACCTAGACACTGTAAATGTTCATTGGAAATATAATTTGTAGAAACACAGGAAGGTCTTATCTTAGTACTTAGCCTGTCTCTAACAAATTGTTATCTAGTAGAATAATTGTTTTGTTTCATAAGAACTCAGAAATTGTAGTAAAAAATTGTTTATTAAGCCTTAGAAGTCTAGTTCTAAAAATAAAATAGAATTTAGGTTATCCTAATTAGTGAATTCTGTCCAAATATCTAGTGTAATTGGTTTAAAATGTGTTTTAATACTAATTATTTTTTAGCTTGCAGCGCAATACAACATGGTGATTATCTCCCCTATATTGGAGCGGGATGAAGACCATGGAGATATTTTAGCCAACACAGCAGGTATGGTCAGTGTAATGACTGGTGTGTTTTTCTAATTAAAGTCATAGTAAAATTACTGGACCCTAATTTGTTTCAGTGGTCATCTCTAACACTGGCAAAGTTTTGGGAAAATCAAGAAAAAATCATATCCCAAGGGTAGGGGACTTTAATGAGGTAAGCTGAGCTTGTGTATGTCTGTAAAGTTCTATTGCCCTATTTTTGTCAATTATTTTATAATGGGAGTTGTTGCCCATATACTGATGATATTGGAAGATAAGTTTATAAGTTTATATTATTGGAAAGTTTTTTCTGTCATACAGGTCCAAATCTAAGTAGTTACTAATAAGTTTTAGATCATTGTTTATCTAGTCTGTGACTTAAAGAAATAACATGATCACATGCTATTTAAAAATTCCTACGCCAATTGGCAGGGACTATTTACTCTCAGTCATTTAATTTATCTTACCAAGATACATTTACTTGTAAGTTTTATATTTAAAAAAAAACAAAATTAGTAATCTGGTTTACAAAAAGCTAAATCTTTTGTGAATCTTTCAGTCTACATATTACATGGAGGGGGATACTGGACATCGAGTGTTTCAGACACAGTTTGGTAAAGTATCCTATACATCCGTTGTATTAAAGCATTATATGTGCTTATCATCTAGACACTTAAAATGATATTAGAAATTAAAATTATTTTGACAACCAATACAAAAAAATGATATAACTTAAAATAAAATGTTATCTGAGCATGTTCTTTGAGATGGTAGATCATTAAAGTACAACCAGCAACATTATAGTACAACCAGCAACATTATACTTATAGTACAACCAACATACTTGTTATATTTAGGCAAGATAGGGATCAACATATGCTATGGTCGCCACCATCCCCAGAACTGGATGATGTATGGAGTCAACGGAGCAGAGATTGTCTTCAACCCTTCAGCCACTGTGGGAGGACTGAGGTAAGCCTACTAAAATACCTTCAGCCACTGTGGGAGGACTAAGGTAAGCCTACTAAAATACCTTCAGCCACTGTGGGAGGACTGAGATAAGCCTACTAAAATACCTTCAGCCACTGTGGGAGGACTAAGGTAAGCCTACTAAAATACCTTCAGCCACTGTGGGAGGACTGAGGTAAGCCTACTAAAATACCTTCAGCCACTGTGGGAGGACTGAGGTAAGCCTACTAAAATACCTTCAGCCACTGTGGGAGGACTGAGGTAAGCCTACTAAAATACCTTCAGCCACTGTGGGAGGACTGAGGTAAGCCTACTAAAATACCTTCAGCCACTGTGGGAGGACTGAGGTAAGCCTACTAAAATACCTTCAGCCATTGTGGGAGGACTGAGGTAAGCCTCCTAAAATACCTTCAGCCATTGTGGGAGGACTGAGATAAGCCTACTAAAATACCTTCAGCCACTGTGGGAGGACTGAGGTAAGCCTACTAAAATAAGAAACATTTTAAAATTTTGATCTATTTTTAACCCATTGAAGTCCCTTATAAATTTTATTACCACAACATGGCTTTTATTTGTTTTTATTTTTAGGTTTTTAAATTTATTTATTTGGTTTTATCTTCCCCGCAAAACAGTGAACCTCTATGGCCAATAGAAGCAAGAAATGCTGCGATCGCTAACAGTTACTTTACTTGTGGTATCAATCGTGTTGGAACGGTACGATTTCTTTGTTAATTTTTATCAGTTAGTTTATTTTTCAACGTTTTTCTTATTCCAATTAGAAAACCTATTTTAACAAAGTTTAAAATTATTATTAAAAAATTGCACTTTATTTTTTCAGGAAATCTTTGAGCATGAATTTACATCAGGGGACAAGAAACCTGGTTGGTGGTTAACTTTTTCATTCAAGTTAACATATAATAATGGATAACACTATAAAAATGTGTACAAGTATTTTACTTCTGGCCTTGTTAAGGTTACCTGAGATCTAATATTATGCATTGTTCTGCAGTTTTTGAAAGTTCTATGTTTTAATTTCTTTTTAAAATTTTTTTTTTATTATAGCTCACAAAGACTTTGGACACTTTTATGGTAAGGATAAGCAAAATAAAAAAAGTTACAATAAAATAATAATATTGATTAGCTATACTAACACAATGAAGGACAGTATGGCTGATAATATTGATTAGCTATACTAACACAATGAAGGACAGTATGGCTAATAATATTGATTAGCTATACTAACACAATAAAGGACAGTATGGCTGATAATATTGATTAGCTATACTAACACAATGAAGGACAGTATGGCTGATAATATTGATTAGCTATACTAACACAATAAAGGACAGTATGGCTGATAATATTGGGGTTGGCGTGGTCGAGTCGGTAAAGTTCATGGTTGCTAAACCGAAAAGTCTCGAGTTCGAACCCTCGGGCTGATGAGGCTCGTTAACTGGGGACAGCCACTCTTCTAGGAGAGACAACTCCAAAAACAAACATCTGCTGCCTTGTAGATTGTTCTTGGTTGGACAAAGGCTATGGAAGCAAATCCAAAAAGAAAAGCAGGCTGAAATCGGAGTCAATGGCCTTAATGGCGCACAACCAGTTGACACGTAACGCTTAATTGTGATGGAAGCATGGTCGAGTCGGCAAAGCTCATGGTTGATAAATTCGAAAAAAGATATCTGGAAGATAAGGCTCGATCCCTTCCAAACACTAAAAATTAAGAACGAAGAAGAAGAAGAAGAAGCTGATAATATTGATTAGCTATACTAACACAATAAAGGACAGTATGGCTGATAATATTGATTAGCTATACTAACACAATGAAGGACAGTATGGCTGGTAATATTGATTAGCTATACTAACACAATAAAGGACAGTATGGCTGGTAATATTGATTAGCTATACTAACACAATGAAGGACAGTATGGCTGATAATATTGATTAGCTATACTAACACAATGAAGGACAGTATGGCTGAGAACTAAACTACAAACCTGAAAGTCCCAAGTTTGGACTCTGGGTTTGAGTTTGTAAGACGTCCCTTATTCCACCTAGATGGGTACCTACTTCTGTTAGGGAAACAATTGCGCTGTGCATAGTGCTGACCACACTAACCCCTTGTGTGCCGAGGTCATTGAAACAGATGAACTCTTCTTCATCTGCCCCACATGTCTTGGGCTCGAACGAGAAAAGATGATGATACTAACACAATAGAGTCCTTTTAATTAATTATACGACGTTTACAAACCTAAACTCAACCCTCATCCTTTCTCTAACCAAGGCTTTAAAGTATTATTCCGACACAAGCTATACAAGTAGAGAGGGTGTGGCTAATCTTTTGTTAAAATTTGCATTCTTAATTGCCTCAATTAAAAGAAAAATTGCTGTATTTTTTTAAATGTCTGATATTATTTTTGTGATTTATTGTATATTCTCAGTTAGTGTTAGGTTTTGTAGATTATTGTATATTCTCAGTTAGTGTTAGATTTTGTAGATTAATTTATTCTCATGTAACAACTGGACAATTTTTTTTTTATACCCCAGGATCAAGCTATGTTGCTGGACCTGATGGTAGCAGGACACCGGTAAGTAGGTCAAACACCATTTATTAGGTTATACTGGCAAAACTCATCAAACCCAATATTGGCAGAAATAGTTCAAAGTGACAAATTACAAGATCATTTGTTTCAAAACCAAAATGTGCATATTTGGTATGGAAGCTGTTGGTTTTTGAAGCATGTGTTCATCAGCCTTCTAAAAATCGTTTCTATTTAGTTCTGGTCTTTGTATGTCCTTAAAGACCAGTACAGATTGCCGTCCAATATCGTTTGTAATCGAACTAAATAACCAGCTGTCATATTCACTGATATTTTTTCCTAAGTAAATTATTGATCTGCAAGGGAGACAACACTCCTTTACGTTCATACAATCTATTTACATAGCTATTTCCCCTGAATATAAATTAACACTTTTTTGCTGCAATTTATGGTTACGTTTTATAATCTGAAGTGTTGTAATTGGGAAATCTTAAAAGTTCTTTTTATATGATCTGTTGTAATACTAGTCTCAGAAAACATAATTTTAATTTTTCGATTTTTTACCCCCCCCCTTTCCCCTCTACAAACATCTACAAATGATGTCCTGCCTCAGGCCCCCTTCCCTTAAAAAATTTCATTTTTTAGTTTTTTAAAGCACGATTTCTTTTATATTTCCTGAGCTCAGTCAAAATTTTGTTTACTAATCATTTTTAATTTTACCATAAAAACTTTTCAAAACGTGAAACAGCGGTTAAAAATCAGCTTTTAACACTAGCAAAAATGTGACGTCACAATTTCTGACTCCCTCCCCATACATCATCACAAAATTCTTGGTATCCCTCTCACCTAGGAGTGTGACGTAGTTTATGGACAACCGTTTACTGGTAGTCTTGACTTTAGTTAGCCATCCTATATCTAAGACTATGTAGATAAGGCTAACCTATTGCTCGATTTTATTTTCACTTCTTTCTGTATAGGAGTACTTTATATCAAACTAGCAAAGACTAAATAGTATCACCTACTATGAATATTACATACACATACAACTAATGCTGTTCTTCTATACAACTATACGGCTACTTGTCTGCCAACCATATTAGCTTATTCTTACATAGCGGGGGGGGGGGGGGGGGGGAAAGGGGGGCGGTAGACTTTCTGTGATTACTTTCTTTGTTTTTTTTTCCCTTGACCGTAATTAAACCCCACGGGTCCCCGAATCTATCGGTCACGATCCCAAGGAATTTTATGGATGTCGCCAACTTGTATACTAAACCAAACAAAATATTTAAAAGTATGGGGGTCACAGGTCACTTAGCTTTTATAAGTAGGGGTCGCTACTAGAAATTGTTTGGGAACCTGTCCATTATTAATATAAAAACAATTCTAACTTAAGAAGCCCTGAATATATCACTGAACCTAGGAAATAAAGTACACATTTTAACGATGCTACGACCAGCAGTAGGATTACGTGGGTACGGTTAGTCGTCTGGAAGTAGGACGTGTCGTGACGCACACCACTATCCCCGTTAATGGTTTGCCCCACTGCCCCGTCTACCACTAACCCCGATTTGAAATGGTTTGACCCACCAGCGACCCACTGCTCCGATGCGCCCCGTACTACTTTAGACTTTATCGACTGGTCGCTAACATCTAGGACAAGCATAGCTGAGACAGGACGAGTCCAACTACCGTATCACCCCTGCTGTGCTGAATGGAGGGGTGTCAGGTTGATGGACTTGACTTTAAAATCACGGTTTTCAGAGGTGGCGCGCTGTGGATAAACCACGTTTAGAAAGACTGTTGTTAGTTGGTTTTATTTAGATCCTATATTTAAAAATTTCTAGCTGATTGTCCGAGTCGACAGATATTTATGCATTGTCGTGTAGTTCTATATGATCGGGCCATAAGTTGGGTTGTTTAAATAACGAAAAATGTTTTAACTGTTTACAAAATGCTACTTAAAAATACATTTAGTTCCCTTAAAAGTAGAGAATTTCCTCTAAAAAGTTAAATTTGGCAGAAATAAAAAAAAAGTAATTAAGTTTTAAGTTTTTATTAGCAATAATGTTTCTTGAAAATTTCAACAAAAAAAAAAAACAATTAAATTTGAATGGAATGCACCAAATTCGTGATCCGGGAAACGAAGTTCTAATTTTTTTTTACAAGCTTTTATTTAGGTCTTAAGGTTTGTTCGTGGGATATGGCAAGTCTTGTAACTTAATTTTGGCCCACTTCTAATACAGACATAGCCTTCAGACTTTGCAGATACCTTCCTCTTTGATGACAATGCAATTTAAAATATATATATATATATATATATATATATATATTTAATTTTAATAAATTCCTTAATTTAGTATCAAATCTCTACTGTTCTGGTCAGAGTTTCTTCCAGGCATCTCTTCCGTCTCTCTTCACCCCCCTCCGGAAATAGTTGTTGTCTCCCCCCCCCCCCCTCGAAAATTTCAAGTGCACCCCCGGAGAAAAAAGTCTGAAGAAACACTATTTCTGGTTTTTAAACGCGCATATTTTTAGTTGTAGCGTATGTAGTGTCAACTTATTTTGGACGAATTACTAAAGCTGGTAAATAAAACAAATATAAAAATATATATAAAATATAAGTGTAAGAAAATAAAACTTTAATAAAGGCATTTCTGTTCCTCTCTCATAAGATATTTATTTTAGTAACCAATGCTTTTATTAAAAAAGCAAATTAGTTTTATCCTCTTATTTTCAGTGCATAAGCATGTTATTATAATTTTGTTTTTAAATATGTTTTTATTTGGACATCACTTTGTCTCTGTTACAAATGGGTCACGTAAGGTGAACAGTAGGACCCCCCTTACGACCTCGTTTTATGATAGGCTACGCCCCTGTTCACCTTTTATCGCTTCGTGACTTGCCGCTCTTTAACTGTAAAGCTGACATCCCTGTCTCGGTTTCTTTCAAATCAATACAATGCCAGTTGCTCTTCAAATAATGGACCAGCCCATGTACATGTGACGTCAAGGGTAGGTCAGATTGCGTTGGTGTATGCTAGCTGCGCGATTGGAGCTGAACGACATTCAGCTAGTACACAGGGGTGAGGCTATTGTTAGTTCTAGCGGATGTGTCGTGTTACGTCGGGTTCACAAACTGACAGCAGATTTATTTTGTCACAGGGGTTTTCCCCATCTTGATTAAAAACAAACACAAACGAAATGACGTACCGGTTTATTTTACCATGTAGATAGACAGTCTATATATAGAACTAAGCCCGATCTGCCAGAATACTTGGCCTTGGCTTTCTTACGAAATAGATTTTGCGGTCTGCTGATTTACATTTGTTGCACAACTCCCCCCCCCTACATTCTTTCATGTATTCATACTGGTGTTAGGGGGTCGTCCATGACTTCACTCTCGATGAGGGGAGAGGGATCCGTAATTTTGTGGGACAATGTGAGATCAGGGGGAGGGGATGCAGATAGTATGTCGTTACTCTTTAACATTTTGAAATTTGAAAACGTAATGTTAGAAACTGAATGTTAACCGTTATTTCTCATTTTAGAAAAATTGTTTTTATAAAAAGTAATAGGAATTGAAAAAAATACTCTATGTTGACAGAGCTCAGTCAAATTTTAGGAAAAAAAAATCGATGTCATAAAAAATTCAGTTGCTATGTTGAGCAGAGTTTCTTCCAGGCATCTCTTCGGGGGGGGGGGGGGGGGGCTTAGACCCCCCGAAATTTTTTTACCGCCCCCCCCCCCCCCGAGCGAAATGAAATTTATATAATTTATATTGAAAATATATACTTTTAACAGTGTCCGCCCCCCCCCCGAAGAAAGTCTACCGCCCCCCCCCCCCCCCCGAAAATTTCAAGTGCCCACCCCCCGGAGAAAAAAGTCTGGAAGAAACACTGATGTTGAGGGGGGGGGGGGTTGTAAGCCGAGATGGGATGGCATTTTAGGTGATGGGTCTAGCTTTTTTTGTGACGATGTGTGACAGAGGGGAAGGGGGAGGTAGAGATAGTTTTAAAAAAGCGTGAATTCATGTTAGATGACCCCTTAGTTCTGTTAACAAATAAAGATCACAAGCGTTGTTTCGCGAAAAGGATCGATTTTAAAATGTATTAAATTATTAGAAAATGTGATTCATGCTGCCTAGTAAAAGAAATGAATAGGATAATAATATATTTAACAAAATAGAATTTTTTGTACCGTATATTTCATCTTAATTTAAAATGTATTTAATAGGCCCATCAAAGGTAAATATAATTTAACCCTTAAGTTATACGAAAGGTTGAGCCAGAGACTACACATGTGAAGATAGCTGTATTAAAAAAAACCCCGCACCACTCTACTTTTCGGGAGTTCCACCCCTCCCCCCTTCAGTTACTCCCGGTCATTCCTCCCCCTGACATTACTCCAGGTCAGTTACCCCCTGTTTATTACCTTCCTCCCCCCCCCTCAGCCCAATTACAAATGGACTGTACTCCTAAACCCAACACTAAATAACCATGCAGCTTAATGTCAGTTGTCAGGTACCTCCCCGGATAATTTACCCCCCCCCCCCTTTAGAACAAAGCTATCCCTGTCTATCTCCCTATCCCCCGTAACAGACGTACAAGTACATCTTAATATCCCATAACCCTAGACGCTGATAAGTAAAGAGGAGAGCTTATAGGTGTTAGTCACCTACAGAGGCTTACCTCGGCTATCAGGTAAAGTAAGGCAAGTGGTGGGTGTTAATCACCTACTACCACAGCCCGGTAATCCCCACACGAATTAGGTAAATCCCTTTGTGGCTTAGAGCCGAATCTAATTATCTCCACTCCCCCGCAGGTAGATCGCAAGGCTTGTTAACACGTAGGCCAACATGTCTTGTCTTGGTTCATCTCATTATTTAACAGGGGGTGTGAAGCTTTAAAACAACTATTATCTTCAACCCCTTTTAGCGATGTACAGTGGTCGAGTTGAATAAAAGTAAGGCTTTGGGCTTATATGGAATTATAAGTCACTAAATTGGTGTTAGGTAACTGGCAGTTAACTAAAAATTAACCTAGCTCGCAA